GAGTAGAAAGGCGATTTTTCGGTGAAAAAAATTGTTATTTTTTTTCCAGGAACAGTAGCGGCAGCGGTAAACAATAGCGGCGGGGTTCGCAATTTTTTTTTGTTTTTTTAACAGTAGCGGCTGCAGTGAACAGTGGCGGGCGCTGAAATTTTTGTTTTTAAAAGGTGAGGCAAACTGGAATGATGACATGGCTTGCAGAAGAAAATTTCTCATCGGAAGACAGTGGGTCAATCGGGTAGCGTACGATGAAGATTTGTCTCTCAGTAGACTTTGAATACCATGTTAAAATACGAGAGACTAAGAGACATTTGAATAAACCGTGTGTCGAATAGCACAACATAATATATATATATATATATATATATATATATATATATATATATATATATATATATATATATATATATATATATATATATATATATATATATATATATATATATATATATATATATATATATATATATATATATATATATATATATATATATATATATATATATATATATATATATATATATATATATATATATATATATATATATATATATATATATATATATAGAATTTCAGATCAACAGTATTAATTACATACTAAATATATATTGATCCTATCCTAGAATATACTAAGGAATATTCTATAGTGATCCTATCTTATAATATACAAGGGAATATTCTAGGAATATTCTAGAGAATATTCTTATTCTATATACAAATATCAACACTTTCATTTTCTCATTCATAGTTTGAACCCAATTTTATACTCCAATGCTTTATGAATAAATCATGAGATTCTCATAGTCCACAACTGTAATAAAACTCTAATAGGGCAGGGAAAGATGTTTAGAGGAGACAAATTGAGTAATAAGATATTTATATTTTGCATAAAATATTTTATCCTCCTTCAAAGCCATGGGTAAGTCATTTGAGTTGGTATCACAAGTATCAGAATCGGAGAATCACCAATATAGGAATCATTTTAGTACTTACGTACGGCTCAGAAGATTGAAGTTGTTTTGGGAGCATGTCGAGTTAACATATTCTTTGATACACTTGTGTTGCTCACTAGCCTTATTCTTTGCTGGTGTTGAAGGTTTTGATTTCTTCTAAACAAAAGAAAAAGGAGGAACCATAACAGAAATAAACTCAAGTTTAGAAGTTGAGTCTGAAACATGACTCAAAACAGGCGACTCATATTAGGAAACAAAACTAGGAGAAAGAACAAAAGCAGGAACATGGACTGAATGTATTAAGGATGCTAGGACCAAGAACCAGAAACTTAGACTAAACCTCCAAGTTAATGATGTTCTCTAGATCTTCTTCTGATGTATTGAAGGTCAACGTCAAAAGAACATAATTGGTGGATTTGAAGAACATACAATATGGTCCATTCGAAGGACATATAATGGGTCCATTCGAAGAACAAACAATTGGTGGAAACAAGTATTGTTCTGTCTTTTGATGAGTTTGGTCGAAGGCTGCTGAACAAAGTCCTATTTGATGCCAAGCCCAAGTTTACTGTACTGTCCATATAACAACCTAAAACCATATCAAAAGCAGTCTGTTGCACTGCTATGAAACAGTCCTAAACCAAGTTGCCACAACAATCCAAAACTGTTGCAAAACAGTCCTGCTATGCTGCTCCTGATTTGCACCAAATTGGCACATAAGAGTTGCACCTCAAAAGCTATAAAAAGAACATACCCAAACTGTTCAAATTTCATTTGTTTTCCCCCTAAAACCCCAACAAGACTCTTCTATAAATAAGATGTTTCACAACACATCTAAAGGAGCTGGGAGGTGGCTTTTCAAAGGGATTTTTGACAAACAAAGAGAGGCTTTTTGGCAAGGAAAAGGAAGAAGAGAAGAAAAAAAGCGAGAGGAGAGAACACTTAAAACACTCTTAAACCCAGAACCAAAAAATACAACACCTCTGTTTGTTCTCTCTTTCGAATCCAAGCTTTTCTATCCTTCGAACTCAGGTTCCTTCCTTCCTTCGATTTCAAGAATATTCAGGGCAGCAACTCAAAGTTCAAAGCACCAACTCCAGATTCAAGGTAAGTCTTCCTGACTTTAAACATTTTTGTTTCAAGCATCATTGATAACTTTTTGGTTGTTTTTGTTTATACCCTTTTGTTTGTTTTCCTTTATTGGCAAGAACTAACCTGTACAGACAATGAAATAATATTGGAGTGAAAAATTACAGCATGATTCGACACAAAGCCTTAGGCTTCGATACACACTGATTTGCAGGCCCAAACGGAAGAAAACAAAAAAGGTGTGAATCGAAGGGTGTATGCTTCGATACACACTGACTTGCAGGACCAAACGAAAGAAAACAAAAAAGGTGTGCATCGAAGGGTGTATGCTTCGATACACACTGACTTGCAGGTTCAAATGAAAGAAAACAAAAGGGGTGTGTGAATCGAAGGACACGTGCTTCGAACATGCTGCATGAATCGAGAAACTTGTTCTTTCTCTCTTTTGCACTATTTTTTGTCTTTATATTTTCTATATATTTTCTTTCATTGCTATTCAATATGGTTGTAATAATTAAGACTTTTATTGCTCTCCACCCCCAACTTGTAAATTTGTATACCCCATCCCTAAATTATGTAATAGCGTAGGATATTTATTTTCCGCAATTTACCGCTTTTATATAAAATGCTAGTAATTAGAGTGTGTATGGCAAGATAAAATCAACCGTTAGAAAATACTAATTTCAAAGACAAAAATGCATGCAATCAAACACACTATTCACACGTGCACCTCTAGGTTAATCTCGCTTGTTACCTCGGAAAATAGTCATGTCGCTCGAATATGGGAGTTTTGGCAAAGACCCTCAATAAAAAAGATCGTAGTCCCCCGATTTCTCTCGATGTTGCCTCTGGTAAACGATCTAGTCCCTTATGAAAATTACTAAAACGTCTCATAAGTTGTCTTCTATGACTATACAATTGACCCACGCTCGTCCCTTCACATCCAACGATGGGGCTTCTCATCAAATCAATGGTAAGGTAGCAACATCTAAAGGAAGAGGAAAAGAAAATAAACCTTTTGAGTAGGTAGGACGCTCGTAGTTGCTTGCTCACAAACTAAAACCATTTCCACACTTACATTTTCAAAACATCTTCAAAAACAAACATCTCTTTGAACTATTTTCAAAATCAACACTTTGTACGCATTCTTATAGAGACGAGAATCATTAAAAAGTTTACCGAAACAAAGGCGTTTTCAAAATACTTTCAAAACCCATCACAAAACACCTTTTCAAACAAAACATTTTTTCAAAGTGATCTAGCAAGCAACTAAGAGCCCGTAGATAACTACGGATGAAAAGGGTGCTAACACCTTTCCTTTTCATAGCCTACCTCCGAACTCAAGAAAACATCTCAAAGGTCTTTCCTGTTCTTTTCACCCTTTCCTTTTTGGATAAAAGAAAAGTCGGTGGCGACTCTTGCTATCCGCAACAATTGCGATCAAACGCAAAACACTCTAAGTCAGTTCTCCCACCGTATTATAGAGACCATCAAAGGTTTGTCCGGAGATGCATATCTGGATTTGAACTGAAATATTTTTGGAGATGCATCTCTGAATTGTACTCAGGCAAAAATTGGGTATTTTTGTGGGATTTGTGAATTTCTCCGGACATGCTATTTATACATGTTTGTGTTTATAACACAAGTGCAATGACTGACAATAATATTGGTCGGTTAGGGGCAGACGTTTGTCCCAAACTATGTCAGTACGATATGAGATGCTCGTAACTAGGACCACGAGGGTAGAGTTATTGATAACTAGTTTGATGTTGCACCTACTTCAAGGCCCCAACCGTCTGGTTCTCGGAGCCAGCTGTCTCAGGCATCTCAGGCATATGATGCAGCAGAATTTGAGGATCCTGTGGTCCCTGTTGATCCCATAAGCCCCTGAAGCCCAAGAGGAAGCCTACTAGAATGCCCCATTAAAGAGTTATCATGAAGAACCACATGACACCTCTTACTTTATAATTATGCAGAGTATGTTGTAAGACATGTCTGAAACGAATAAGTATACATCTTTTCTTTTGCAACACGTATGTTAACAACTAAGTAAATTTATACTGATTATGTTTTCTTTTTTCAAGAGCGTGATTGTTTGAAAATGATTAACCACGATATGAAGATACTCGTGTTGTCACTGTCCATTGATCGTTGGTTCAGTGATGTTATCCACTATTCTGATTTTGCTAGTTTATGTTCATTTACATATGTGACCATAAATCACGCCATGGAAACAACTTTTGTAGAGAGCTAACACTCAGAGACGTTATCTTTCCACATACCTATAAGCGAGATGACCACCGCTTTGGATGAAGTCTCATGTCTACTGCATCTTCCCACCAGGGGGAGATTACCGAACCACGGGAGGATCAGGCAAAAGAAAAAGGTTAATTTGATGGTCACCCTGTTGGGGACTGACCATAGTAAGGTGTCGGAGGAGGCAGCTCACACTAGAAGTGCTCATGCACGATTTGACTTTTCGGAAAAGCTTTATAATGATCATGTGAAGGGGGATACATATGCCGATGGTGATAATGTGCATGTTGAGTACCACCGACATTACATATTGAAGTGTTACCTTTTGTTCTTGATTGACACACCCATGATTATAAACAAAAATGCACATATGTCAATGTGGTATACCTCAAATATTAACCAAACATAACACTTTAATTATTTTAATCTCAGGTCAATTCGGTTCAGTAATTCAGTTGAATTCATAGAATTTTTTTTTACAAGAATTCATAGATTTTTTAAACAACCCTAATTCTCATAACTCATTTTCTCTTTTATTACTCCACATTAGTATTAAATAACCCATGTTTTCCGGAGTCTAACTCACTCCATTTTCCCGCCAGTTATCTCAACGGCCCAAACCCTAACCTCTAGAATATTCACTCTGAAATCCCTACTACCTCCATTCCGTACATTCAATGTGTAACTGCTGATTCCGCAGTGACAATGGCGAAAATCAGCTCCAGAGACGTTCGAGAGATTGTAGAGAAACTCTCATCAGATAAAGTCAAAGCTCGCGAAGTAAAGTTCAATCCCTTTCAAAACTCACTGTTTATCTTCTTTAATCGATCGCTGCAAGAACACCTTAACTATTCATTTCAATTTCATGCATACTAAGTTGAATTTAGTTGAATTCCGTTATTCTGTTCTATCAGTTTTCAGTTGTTCACGAAGCTTCTATTGCATGAATTTCGCTGTTTTGATTTGGACAAAGAAACCGTTCATCTATTAGTTAGTTTAATTTTAAACAAATTATTGTAAATGTATCATATAGTTAAATAGTAATGATTGGATTTTTTGTGCTTGTGCATCCTCTGAGGTTGAGTGTTTGATTCTAATTAGTTGTACTGTCTCACAACTTACCAGGAAGGGATCAAGTTGTTAAATAGTTGGTTAGAAGGAGAAAAATCATATAACTTCTGCAATTTTATTGGACTGAGTACATCAAAGCTTAGGCCAGATGAAATTCCTCACGGTAAGATCATTTTTAAGATCAAGTTTACATGCATTGTTGGATGCAATAATATACATTTATGTAGCCAAAGTGTAAATTTTACCCATGCTTAATTCATCTATTTTAAATTGTTTTTGGTGGCAGCTGAAACATGGCCTTTTCTTGTTTCTTTGCTTATTCAATCTGCATCATCGGAAATATCGTCAAGTAAGCGGAGAAATCCGAAAATGATATATGCAAAGACTCTTAGACTTATTGTGCAACGAGCGGAAGATGCTAAGTGTTCAGGTCAGTTTGAGGTGGTTTAGTTTGTAATATGTTTATTCTTTCTTTCCTTTTGATCATGATAGAAATTGATAGTTGCATGTTCATATTTAAGTTGTAACTAACTTTGCTATTATGAATTGATTGAATACAAAGGATTACAACTGATTGCATTTATAGTAGCAATCAGTTAACCTGCAATAGCAGGTTACTAACAGACTGAACTGACAACTGCCAGTTATAACAACCCTAAGCTAGCTTATCTCTAATAGATCAGAAATAAGTAAATAGCATATGAGGCTAAATTCTAGTACTAAAATGCACCCAATAGATGGGTGACAATGAGGGAAGAACAATTAACAATTATAGGACTTCTAAGTTAGCCACAATTTTAAGGTATCACTTATCGCAAAGAGAAAGATCTCGAACTGTCTTTAGTTGACATTGTAAACACATTTCAAAGTGTGTACCTAGTCCCTCAAAATCAATGCTATATGAATATTCAAAGATGCAAGAAAAGATTTTGTGTTTACTCTGGTTATCATATAATATGTGAACGGTATTTTGATGGCTTTTAGAGCAGTTAAACACATGGTATGTTTATTGTTTCATTCATTTGAATATCATTGTTCTCATAAAAGTTTGATTATCTTATTACAGGACTGATTGGTCACCTTAGTGCTTAAAAATGTTCATATTTGAGTTGTAACTAACCTTGCTATTATGAATTGATTGAATGCAAAGGATTACAACTGATTGCATTTATAGTAGCAATCAGTTAACCTGCAATAGCAGGTTACTAACAGACTGAACTGACAACTGCCAGTTATAACAACCCTAAGCTAGCTTATCTCTAATAGATCAGAAATAAGTAAATAGCATGAGGCTAAATTCTAGTACTAAAATGCACCCAATAGATGGGTGACAATGAGGGAAGAACAATTAACAATTATAGGACTTCTAAGTTAGCCACAATTTTAAGGTATCACTTATCGCAAAGAGAAAGATCTCGAACTGTCTTTAGTTGACATTGTCAACACATTTCAAAGTGTGTACCTAGTCCCTCAAAAATCAATGCTATATGAATATCCAAAGATGCAAGAAAAGATTTTGTGTTTACTCTGGTTATCATATAATATGTGAACGGTATTTTGATGGCTTTTAGAGCAGTTAAACACATGGTATGTTTATTGTTTCATTCATTTGAATATCATTGTTCTCATAAAAGTTTGATTATCTTGTTACATGACTGATTGGTCACCTTAGTGCTTAAAAATGTTCATATTTGAGTTGTAACTAACTTTGCTATTATGAATTGATTGAATACAAAGGATTACAACTGATTGCATTTATAGTAGCAATCAGTTAACCTGCAATAGCAGGTTACTAACAGACTGAACTGACAACTGCCATTTATAACAACCCTAAGCTAGCTTATCTCTAATAGATCAGAAATAAGTAAATAGCATATGAGGCTAAATTCTAGTACTAAAATGCACCCGACAGATGGGTGACAATGAGGGAAGAACAATTAACAATTATAGGACTTCTAAGTTAGCCACAATTTTAAGGTATCACTTATCGCAAAGAGAAAGATCTCGAACTGTCTTTAGTTGACATTGTCAACACATTTCAAAGTGTGTACCTAGTCCCTCAAAAATCAATGCTATATGAATATTCAAAGATGCAAGAAAAGATTTTGTGTTTACTCTGGTTATCATATAATATGTGAACGGTATTTTGATGGCTTTTAGAGCAGTTAAACACATGGTATGTTTATTGTTTCATTCATTTGAATATCATTGTTCTCATAAAAGTTTGATTATCTTGTTACAGGACTGATTGGTCACCTTAGTGCTTAAAAATGTTCATATTTGAGTTGTAACTAACTTTGCTATTATGAATTGATTGAATACAAAGGATTACAACTGATTGAATTTATAGTAGCAATCAGTTAACCTGCAATAGCAGGTTACTAACAGACTGAACTGACAACTGCCATTTATAACAACCCTAAGCTAGCTTATCTCTAATAGATCAGAAATAAGTAAATAGCATATGAGGCTAAATTCTAGTACTAAAATGCACCCAATAGATGGGTGACAATGAGGGAAGAACAATTAACAATTATAGGACTTCTAAGTTAGCCACAATTTTAAGGTATCACTTATCGCAAAGAGAAAGATCTCGAACTGTCTTTAGTTGACATTGTCAACACATTTCAAAGTGTGTACCTAGTCCCTCAAAAATCAATGCTATATGAATATCCAAAGATGCAAGAAAAGATTTTGTGTTTACTCTGGTTATCATATAATATGTGAACGGTATTTTGATGGCTTTTAGAGCAGTTAAACACATGGTATGTTTATTGTTTCATTCATTTGAATATCATTGTTCTCATAAAAGTTTGATTATCTTGTTACAGGACTGATTGGTCACCTTAGTGCTTAAAAATGTTCATATTTGAGTTGTAACTAACTTTGCTATTATGAATTGATTGAATACAAAGGATTACAACTGATTGCATTTATAGTAGCAATCAGTTAACCTGCAATAGCAGGTTACTAACAGACTGAACTGACAACTGCCAGTTATAACAACCCTAAGCTAGCTTATCTCTAATAGATCAGATATAAGTAAATAGCATATGAGGCTAAATTCCAGTACTAAAATGCACCCGACAGATGGGTGACAATGAGGGAAGAACAATTAACAATTATAGGACTTCTAAGTTAGCCACAATTTTAAGGTATCACTTATCGCAAAGAGAAAGATCTCGAACTGTCTTTAGTTGACATTGTCAACACATTTCAAAGTGTGTACCTAGTCCCTCAAAAATCAATGCTATATGAATATTCAAAGATGCAAGAAAAGATTTTGTGTTTACTCTGGTTATCATATAATATGTGAACGGTATTTTGATGGCTTTTAGAGCAGTTAAACACATGGTATGTTTATTGTTTCATTCATTTGAATATCATTGTTCTCATAAAAGTTTGATTATCTTGTTACAGGACTGATTGGTCACCTTAGTGCTTAAAAATGTTCATATTTGAGTTGTAACTAACTTTGCTATTATGAATTGATTGAATACAAAGGATTACAACTGATTGCATTTATAGTAGCAATCAGTTAACCTGCAATAGCAGGTTACTAACAGACTGAACTGACAACTGCCAGTTATAACAACCCTAAGCTAGCTTATCTCTAATAGATCAGAAATAAGTAAATAGCATATGAGGCTAAATTCTAGTACTAAAATGCACCCAATAGATGGGTGACAATGAGGGAAGAACAATTAACAATTATAGGACTTCTAAGTTAGCCACAATTTTAAGGTATCACTTATCGCAAAGAGAAAGATCTCGAACTGTCTTTAGTTGACATTGTCAACACATTTCAAAGTGTGTACCTAGTCCCTCAAAAATCAATGCTATATGAATATCCAAAGATGCAAGAAAAGATTTTGTGTTTACTCTGGTTATCATATAATATGTGAACGGTATTTTGATGGCTTTTAGAGCAGTTAAACACATGGTATGTTTATTGTTTCATTCATTTGAATATCATTGTTCTCATAAAAGTTTGATTATCTTGTTACAGGACTGATTGGTCACCTTAGTGCTTAAAAATGTTCATATTTGAGTTGTAACTAACTTTGCTATTATGAATTGATTGAATACAAAGGATTACAACTGATTGCATTTATAGTAGCAATCAGTTAACCTGCAATAGCAGGTTACTAACAGACTGAACTGACAACTGCCAGTTATAACAACCCTAAGCTAGCTTATCTCTAATAGATCAGATATAAGTAAATAGCATATGAGGCTAAATTCCAGTACTAAAATGCACCCGACAGATGGGTGACAATGAGGGAAGAACAATTAACAATTATAGGACTTCTAAGTTAGCCACAATTTTAAGGTATCACTTATCGCAAAGAGAAAGATCTCGAACTGTCTTTAGTTGACATTGTCAACACATTTCAAAGTGTGTACCTAGTCCCTCAAAAATCAATGCTATATGAATATTCAAAGATGCAAGAAAAGATTTTGTGTTTACTCTGGTTATCATATAATATGTGAACGGTATTTTGATGGCTTTTAGAGCAGTTAAACACATGGTATGTTTATTGTTTCATTCATTTGAATATCATTGTTCTCATAAAAGTTTGATTATCTTGTTACAGGACTGATTGGTCACCTTAGTGCTTAAAAATGTTCATATTTGAGTTGTAACTAACTTTGCTATTATGAATTGATTGAATACAAAGGATTACAACTGATTGCATTTATAGTAGCAATCAGTTAACCTGCAATAGCAGGTTACTAACAGACTGAACTGACAACTGCCAGTTATAACAACCCTAAGCTAGCTTATCTCTAATAGATCAGAAATAAGTAAATAGCATATGAGGCTAAATTCTAGTACTAAAATGCACCCAATAGATGGGTGACAATGAGGGAAGAACAATTAACAATTATAGGACTTCTAAGTTAGCCACAATTTTAAGGTATCACTTATCGCAAAGAGAAAGATCTCGAACTGTCTTTAGTTGACATTGTCAACACATTTCAAAGTGTGTACCTAGTCCCTCAAAAATCAATGCTATATGAATATCCAAAGATGCAAGAAAAGATTTTGTGTTTACTCTGGTTATCATATAATATGTGAACGGTATTTTGATGGCTTTTAGAGCAGTTAAACACATGGTATGTTTATTGTTTCATTCATTTGAATATCATTGTTCTCATAAAAGTTTGATTATCTTGTTACAGGACTGATTGGTCACCTTAGTGCTTAAAAATGTATTTATTTTCCTTTTTGTTAGAATATAGAATAAACTGTCATTAGATTAGTTAAAGTAGTTAATAGTCATTACAGAAGTTAGTTGGATAGTTAGGGAAATAACATGCATAAATAGAAGGATATATGGTTAGAAGGAATCATTGAGTATTGTAAAATTCAGTGAATAGAGCCTTGTCTCTATTGTAGAAGGGGAAACCCTTGGAGGAGAGATCTCTCTTATATTCCCCTCTTTAGTAGTTTACAATACTCAATACATAATGTGCACCGGCAAAGTGATTCACCCATATATGAAAACAAAATAAAATTGAATGCGTATAGAATTATTGGTGATAACAGTATCATTGAACAATACATATTCTACTCTTGAATTGCCAATGAATTTTTGGGTAAATTTCCAATGGAACTACTAAAGATTTACACAATGAAAAATAACCACATGCAATGGTTATTGTATATAATATACTGGCTTAAATATCCACTATGACTGGTTATTTCTTCCATGATAAATTTTTTTTGAAGAAATGATAAATACTTCTTTATAAACAATTCACTTTTTTGACTTACATCTGCCACTGTCGTGGCACTTGGTAAGGTTAGCATGCATTTTCTATTACAGTTGTGAGAATAGTGGAATTCTTTATCACTTTGAAACTTCAAATTCTACTAAAAAATATTAGAAATTTATCTTATGAAGTTTATGTTGTTAATTTCCCCGCATCTTGATTACCTGTTTCCTTTTTATTTTAGGCCAAATTCTGCCTTTGTCATCTGTGGTTAGACCCCTTTTTAGTCATGTTTGGGATGTCCTGAGCAATGTTCCAAGCTTTCAGTCAGAGTATGGGATTATCCTTCGACATCTATTGGCAGTAAGGAATTATAGTTTTCAGATGAGGAAGCGCATTTACTGCAGTAAGTTCTTGCAAACATGAAGCATACTACTGTGACATCCCACCGTGACCTTCTGTTTTAATGTTCTTGTTTTGTTTTTTCTAATCAAATTCTTTATAACTAGGCCTGGTGATGCTGTACATTGAGAAAGTTGAAGCAAGCTTGAATGGGAAAAATATTAGTAACTGTACTTCCAAAGAAGAGGTCTTCCGCAATATTTTAACTCTTCATTCGCTTTTGGATTACCCTCCTGGAGACTACCCTGTTAATCTAAGAGAAGACATTGTTAAGGGGTTCGTCAGGATCTGTTCATTCATCAGGTATTCCTTAGGGTGATATAATGTTTTTCTTTTTTTTACTATTATCATGTTCTGCTAGAGTACAATATGGCTTTTGTTTTGTTACTTTCCTCAGGGAAGAAGGAAAGATATCACGCAAACTTGTTGAGTGTATCAATACATATTTGTTAAATGATGGTCCCAATTTGGGCTCTCAGTTGTTAGAGATTCATAATGCTATGCAGCAGTTTTTGTTTCACTGTTGGCTGACAACACATGATCGCGTGCTTAAGGTATTTTCACGGTTGCATTTGTAACAAATAAACTTATAATTTTTATTACATTTTTCAAATTTCTCAGATCAATATTTCTGTTGCAGGATTCACTGATGTTCTATGCAAGGACACAATTAAATTTAATGAGAGGGGCTGCTGATAGGTATTTATTGGTAGAACAGCTTTTGGATGTGATTTATAAGGATCTTGATCAGGGTAGCGTGTCTAGTATTTCAATACCGCGGTGAGTGTTTCTAATTTTATCCATTTTATAGTTTTACCGATGAATCTTTTTGGTAGTTTATGACGATCCTAATGAACATTCTACCCAGGGGTGATGGAAATAAGGATGATAGACTTGGAACTTTGAGTAGCTCGCAATGTGGCTTAGTGGAACTTGCAGCAGTTCTATTTTATAGGGTAGTTACTAGAAACTCAACCATCAACTCCTAGACTTAATATTCAAGTTTCTGTGCTCAACTTTTGATAATATATATATTTTTTCTGCAATCATGTTGATTAATTTTGATATAGTTAGTTAGTTGCATAAGAATCTCCTCAGTTTTCGCTATGCTTCCTTTTTACTTTCATCGTTTTTGTTTGGTGATGAATATGTGTCAGCTTGGTATACTATGGAACAGTTTCTCACGCTTTGTCTTTAAAGGTTTCAATAAAAGCACTTAGCAGAAAATGTTACGGTATTGTATAGTATTTCTCAGAGGTATTGTATATTTGTTTGGAGCAGGATGCCCACTTAACTTTGGGCTACTCCTTATCCTTAGGCTTAGACTGTTTGTTTCAAGGCATAAAATTTATTCTTTGGAAAGTGAGGTAGGGAATGTAACATTCCAGTGTTTGAATCAAGCTTTTAAAAAATATTTTTGGGTATTATTGATTAGGAATGTTATTTACTCATGCTTTCCTCACTTTTATTCCCGTATTAAATGTTGGTAAGAGTCTTACATTCCAATGGGAATACAAGGTATGTTTTATAATTCGACCAACTATAACTATCCACTCTCACCTCAGTACTTACCAAACCCACGAATTATAATGAAAATAATATTCTTGGAAATTGTTTTCTCAGAAATTATTTTTTAATTCGACAAACTATAACTTCCCACTCTCGCCTCATTACTTACCAAACCCATGAACTATACCTGAGAATAATATTCTTGGAAATTGTTTTCTCAGAAATATAATTATTAGGGTTATGATTTTATTATACCTTGAAACAAAACTCAGATTTGAATAGGGTAGTGTTGTCATTGTTTTCTCAGGTGCTCTCCTCTCCTAACTTTTAAAGGAAGTTTCCATTTCTGGGTTGCAGAGAAGCTGGGCAGCCTACTTGTTATTTTTATTCTTTTGTTTCCCTTGTTTTTATATTACTTGTTACTAGTCTCTCTTTATCTCTAGTTACATTTATTTCTGTTGTTGGGTTGATCTATTTGGTTTTGCAGACTTGTGAATTTTAGCTATTATTATTATTATTATTATTATTATTATTATTATTATTATTATTATTATTATTATTATTATTATTATTATTATTGTTATTGTTGTTGTTATTGATATTGTTATTGTTATTTCATTTATTAGAATATGACAATTTCTGTTAACTCTAGAGTCTTTAACTATGGAATTTTCAAATAATGTGTTAGGATTAGAATATCCTGAATATCCTTGTACTTTCATTCATGATCAATCCACCCTATTGTCGCAAGTTCGCATCTACTCCCATTTATCCATGTCTCACTTTAATTGTTTTAAATTTTAATAAGACTTAAATGCACTTTTGGTTCCTCTAGTTTCGGTTTTTTGAAGTTTCAGTCCCCTATTTTAAAAGCCAGGTTTCAAGTCCCTAAAATTTATATGAGTTGGGATTTTTTTAGTCCCCTTCCATCTGAACCTGACATTATTGTTGAGCTTCCACGTCAGATTTTTTAATTTTTTTTTATTTAGATGTAATTTTTAAAAAATTAAAAATAATTTGGAATTTTTAAAAAACATTTTTTAAACTAATTTTTTTTCTACTTATGATATGTCTCAATATGTTTCGAGACATATTGAGACATATTATAAGCCACTATAAACATTTTTTTTTCCAGATGTAATGACCTGGTATTGGTGTTGAAGACATTCTTTTGATTTTCCATTTCATACTCTTTGAGTGCATCTCTTATTGGAAGTAGAAAAACAATTAGTTTAAAAAATGTTCTTTAAAAATTCCAAATTATTTTTAATGTTTTAAAAATTACATCTGAATAAAAAAATTAAAAAATCTGACGTGGAAGCTCAACACCAGTGCCAGGTCATTAAATGAACAGCCAGATGGAGGGGGACTAGAAAATCCCAACTCATGTAAACTTGAGGGACTTGAAACCTAGCTTTTAAAATGGAGGGTTTGAAACTTTAAAAAACCGAAACTAGGGGGACCAAAAGTGCATTTAATCCTTTTAATAAATAAGGGTAACATTGAAAAAAAGTAATAAACACTTTCATGGAATTCTAAAATGACAAGTAATCTGATATAAAAAAAAATCCAAACAACACTTAGTGTGACACATATGAAGTTATTTTTTTCGGTACAAGAATCTCAATATTGCTGTCTAATCAGTTTTACTCCTCAGGCGTGCCTTAATACAACCAGAGCCTCATTAAGTGAAAAACGAGTTAAGAGAGAACCTGCTGCTGTGGTCTTGAGGGAGGCACTCATGAAAGGCAAATGGCTATGGTAATTTATAAACTAATTTGAGGGTTGTGCTGTAAATTATTTTCTACTTCATACTGGGACCAACTACTAATTTTGTTCCTATGTGAAGTGCTAGTTTTTATCTTTCCTTATTCTGTGTACTATTTCCCCCTCTCCTATAATTATAGACATTTCCCTCTTGAACTACTTTCTATATCAGTATTTATACCACCAAAATTTTATCTTGGGTTTTTGCTTGGGATTTCTCTCTCAATAGAAACTTCTGCTAGTTGCTTTAAGTTACATGTTGCATCACAGTAGGACAACTAGTGAACAATATTATGCATTCATATCAATATTGCTTTCGTAATGTGCAAAAGAGGATTTTTTACTTAAATGCAAACAACCATGCTTTTCCCTTCACATATTTATGTGATTAGAAATTCGCCACTGCCTCCATTATCACGGAGGCCTTTAACACGCAAACAACTACTCGATGCATTGAACTAGTTTATACACTGCTCAGGTTTCTTGGAAGCCGTGGACTCAGATTGAATTTCAAACTATATCCATTTGTTTGAACTATAGTTATTAATCCCGAATAACAGGATAATTGTGATTAAATCTCACAACTTTAGAAAATCACTCGGTTCACGGTGTATTAATGAGTAGTTATAAAAAGTTGTAGGTCCTAAGCAAAAACACATGTAATTAGTAACAAAAGCACAGTGAACAAACCCAAGTGCTCTAGAGCTAAACTGGATCACCAATGCTGAAAAGATTCAATCAATGCCTTAATGCAGAAAATATATTGAGAGATTGAATGTGAGCCTTTCCTGGTATTGCAAAGCTCAATGCGGAGTTGAAAACCTTTAGCTTTTGTTTTAGTGCAAGTATAGGCCCATTGATGGATCCAACTTACAAGTGTATAAGAGAAAAGGAGAAAAAGGAGAGAGGGAGAGTAGAAGGTAATTATTGGGCCTGAGGCTCACATGAGTAAACAGGTAGGTAGTAGAAGAAAGGATAGAGGTGGCCACTAAGTCAGGAAAAAGAAGAGAGACAGATCACACATAACATAATGGGCACGTGATCCAAGGGGATTGAGGGAGGAGATTTTGGAATCAGGTACGAAGGGAGAAGGAATGATTAATTAGGGGAGGGGGAGTAACCATAAAGGGGTAGAGAGAATTTCCAAGTGATGGTGGGAGGTTTGGACTGGAGCTGAGTAGGGAGACTATTCTCTCTAAGTTTATCTTCTGTTGTTTCATCTTTTCACTGCCATCTTGCAAGGAGCCAGGCTCCATACCATTGCTTTGTTTCTCATCTTTTGTCAGAAACTTCACAGATTGAAAGAAGGCAAATTTAGCCTCTGTTTCATAACAAATATCAATACAGTTCCTATCCTTTACTTTCTTAAGTTGCCGATTCTTATCAGCAAGTATGTTATAGCTTTTTCAAAGCTTCCACAGGTTTACTTATTCAATTATTCTTGGCAAGATCGGGCTCAAAGAGTGGATTGAAGCAAGCACAAGGACTGGCCTTGTTGCTCCCAAGAGGAATACTGTGGATTGAGAGCACCAGTAAAGCGATCAACTTCAGTCAAAAGTTATTTTTTTTCATGTAAAAATATGTGATAACAAGAAAAAGTGAAAACAAGGTGGCAGTTCTGTAATTAAAACGTAAACTAAACATTTGAAAATGTTTTCTCAAATCGAACACGCCCTTAACTTTAAATAGAAATTGTTTCTTATTGTTCACATAACCTTTTATCATTTTCCCACTTACTAGGTTTTGATAACAATTTTTATCTGGGCATAATTTTGGGTTTATTGTGATTTTTGTTACCATTTTATCTTAACTTCTCATTTTAGTAACAATTGGTCTTATGCTAGAATCTGAAGTGAAGTCCTCAGATGCATCTTCTGAGTTCTGATATCATAATGCAAAAATTAATATTGTTGTGTATGTTACTTTACACTATTTAAATTGAATATCATCATGACAAAATCTGATGAAGGATCTATGGTACAGGAATGCTGCATTTTGTTATCTAACCCGAAACTTCCATACTCGCATTTCCAAAGATCTGTTCCTCTACTGGTTTGAAGGCATATGGATGAGCTTTGACAGGTAATTTAGGATTGGTAGGGTAAACAAAGAAACTGTTAGTCTGGCCATTTTTTTCAACACTGGTTCAAAATTACAGGCAGTTTTGTGCACAAAATACTAAGGAATTAGCGGATCTTAAAACTCCTGACTCTCTTTCACTCTATTAATTTTATGATATTTAAATCTGAATAATGTTGGATTATAATAACTTGACACATGTTCTCTCTCGCTCTCTCCTTTCTATTTTTTTTCTTTCACGTGTTATGTCTTCACTGTTTCCCCCTTTCTCTTATTCTCAAATTGCTTTTTTATTTTCTTTTACAATTGATAATTTGCTGGTTGCAACGCCCACTTTCTTCAAACACTTAATTAATATTCTCATGGTTTGAATTGAATATTTCTCTATGCATGTGTAATACATATTTGTAATAAAGAATGTTGATGATCACCTCATCTGTTTACAAAGCTGTGATGATATTGCAGAATCCTTAATTCTGCAAATGTTGATCGGGCCTACGATGGTTTGTTATGGACTCTGCGGTATGCTACTGCTAATCGGCATAAGGATTCTTTTTACTCTACGTTTTTCTTTTATGCATTTTAGATTTGTACGAGAAAACTTATAATATAGACCCTGGCCACCAGTTGAATACTGTGAATTTATGTCTGTTCAATTGCTTCAAAAGGAGTTTGCAGGAACTTTCGTCTGCTTTGTTGCTTCCAAATTCAACGATGAAGATATCGTCGATGCCTCCTTCCTCCTTGAATGAGGTCTTTCTGACTCTCACATGTTTTGACCAGTTTTTCTTTGATGCATGGCACACTTATTTTTCTGAATTCTAACAAAAACTGACTCTCACATGTTTTGACCAGTTCTTCTTTGATGCATGGCACACTTATTTTTCTGAATTCTAATAAAAACATATTGTAGTAAGGGTTGGCAATGGAAGACTTGACAAAGACTTGTGAAATTGCTTTTGGGCAGTTTCTTTTAAATTAATGCGCCTTTTCACTTACCAAGCTGTGTTTTCCTTAATTTTAAGGAGAATAACTTATCCTACTCCTTGTGTCACTTTTTTTCTTCTTCTTTTACGTATTAAGTTCTCAAATGAGAAATTGATTCAGATGATCTGTATTTTAGTTGACTATTATGATACGGAGACAGACTTTGTGAAAGCAATGCAAAGAAAAGGCTTTTTAGTATTAATTACTAAAGGGGAGAATGGAATAGAGTACAGACAAGAGTTTTCCCCACATGTCTTATTTATGCTAAATGGCAATTGAAATTTTTGAACACATTTTCAACGAAACTCAAACTTTAATTTAAACAGAACATATTCCCTATCTGTTTCTGAATTTTAAGAGTTTTGTCATTGAAGCTGACTACTTTCTTTTGGGTTGTTCTGGAAATTTGTCATTATCCTTTTTGCTTCTCTGATATCATGTTTTTTTGCTTAAGTATGCATTGACTTGATCAAGTGAATTTTTGCAGTTCATCAAGGGTTGGAAAGTACTATGGAGTACTATTGTTCACGGGCTGCCGATTTTCAGCAATATAGCCACTGTTGTAAGTTTGTTTACAAATCCATTCTCTCTTTTTAGTTGTAGTTTTTTATGGGTATCAATATATACCTTGCAGATATAATTAGTATTAGATAGTGTTGAAATTAGAGAATTTTAGATAAGAGAGGAGAGGAAGAACAAAGGCTTTTGAAATATGATTATGATTGGTGATTTGATCATGATCGGATGATTAAAAAAGGTTAAGCCCTAACCCCTATTATAAGGATATGACTCCGGATCCTAGTTGAATAGGGAAACTAGTAATGACAATTACTAAGTCATAAGAACGTAATCAATAACAACTATGACCAGTGTTAAAGTAAACGAGAGACATATGGTGAAAGTATGTGTAAACTACACCACAAAGATTCTATTATATAGGCTTACAAACAAATCAATATGTCTATATATATACCAATTGATCATTGGAATCGGCAAAGCTTGGGACGATGTTGCCTGATTCAATCTTCTCTGACAAAATGACAATCTATCTCAATACGCTTGGTCCTCATGAAAAATCGGATTTGAGGCAATATGCAATGCTAGTTGATTATCTTGATTATTTTAGATTAGTGTCGTCGACTTTGCCTCTTCAAATTGCAGCTGTTTAAGTAGCTGTTTCAACCAAATAAGCTGTCCCTCAACGCTGGATCTTGAAACTACATATCGTTTCATATTTTTTCTAAGATACCAAATTTCCTCTAAGAAGTAAACAATACACAAAAGTGATCTGGCCCAATCGAGTTTGTCCTTTATCTTCATAAACGAGACCTTTTACTAGAGCACCTTTGTTGTATTTCAAAATTCGAATTCCAACATCCACATGTTTTTGGAGAGGAGAACTTAAGAACTGACTTACCACACTGGCTGTGAAGAAAATGTTTGGACGAGTTAATGTGAGATAGTTTAATTTCCCTTGATTAGGTAGAACGTTTGTATCCATAGAAGTATCAACTGACTTGACATTCAATAGACATTTTCTTTCAAGAATATCCATATTTCCTTTGTGAAATTACAAGACCATCATTGGATTGGTCTATAATAGATCCCAGAAAATTAGGTAAACTGATTGTTATATTACAATGGGGAAAACAAAAAAAGAAAATGTAAACCAGAGTTCTATGAACTCCTAAACCAGAGAGAAATCTCTCCGAACTGTTTACTACAAACTTTCTGAATGCATTTCCCACTCACTCCCCTACAGTCTCTTTTATAAACGAAAGTCCCTTAAAGTTAGGAAATATTCCAACTGACTTTTATTCTCACAGCTTCTAGAAGCTGTGTTGACGTGGATTGAGCCCAATAATTGGGTCATCATCACACATGAGAACTGTGCTCTATCACTACCACCTTCTTTAGGAACAACCTTGTCCTCAAGGATAGCATGGAAAAATTGATCTTCTAACAAGGCTTCAGGATCCCAGCTCATAGTTTCTACTTTTAAAATATTTTTTGGCTGCAGTATGCTCATTGCTGCAACAGTGTTCTATCAGGCTGCCTCAATACCCAAAATATTTTAATGTATCTTGGTGTTCTTATTATTATTATTTGTATTAAACTATAAGTTTTCTCTGCTGGTTATTTTCTGCTAAGGTTTTAATTTCTGTAATGATGCATTGATGCAGGTGGATGCTGCTTTGGCACTTCTGAGTAATATAACCTCAAATGTATGTTGTGCTTTACACAGTTGGGCATGCTGTTAATAATAGTTTATATCTCTAATGCCACATGTTTGTATCCAGGCTTTAGTAGATACATGTCTCATACCACAAGATGTTTGGGATCTTCAATTTTTCAAAAGACCAACTTCATTGTAAGTGTCTTTTACTGTTTTAACTTGATTGCAATTAAAATATGTTATAAAGATTGCTATTATTTTAATGAAAGCTTATCATTTAAGCTAGTAAATAAATTCAATCATATATTATCACACTCTTGTCAACTACTTAGAGATCAAGTGCTGTTTCATTGGATGTAGAAAATACCCTGTCAGTGTTTCATGCTTACCAGGGCAACACTACTTAAACCTATCTGGCTGTTGCATCATAGATATTTCTAACTAGTTAATTTGTTTGATGCCTTTTCATTTATAAAGTTTATAGACAAATTCTGATTCAATAAAAAGAAAAATCTTCTGCAAGCCATTTTATTTATTTTACATATTATCATTTCTTTCACAGGGTTAGTATAATTTGTAAACATACATTGGAGACAACATGCTTATGCTTTTGCAGGGTTGAAGGAGGACCAATTGCTAGATCCATGTTTAAAAAAACAATTATTTGGAAGGTTTAGACCAAAAAGAACCACGAGATCTAATGAACTGCTATATAGGGCTATTATTAAGAGAGGGAAGAGTTAGGAAAACTTTTGTTCAAGGTCGTTACTGTTAGAAGGGAGTGTAAGTTATGTTTCTATCTTATACGTTGTAGGGCATATACTGTGAGTGTGTGTGAGAATTCTTTTTTTCTCATGAATGTAATGAGAGAATAACCCAGGATAAGGGAAGGACAACTCATTGAAGACCTCATCCTTGGAGATGTATAGTTTGCCAGTAGGTGCAAGACACTGATAACCTTTGTGTGATGTAGAGTAGCCTAAAAAATGACACTTTTGGAACCGTAGGTGCAAGACACTTATAACCTTTGTGTGATGTAGAGTAGCCTAAAAAATGACACTTTTGGGACCTATACTGTAATTTGTGATAGTTGTAAGGGGAAAACAAGAGCAACCAAAGCACTAGAGAAACTTGTTGTCAGTTGGAGTACCAAATAGCTTAGTGTAGGGAACTTCAAAATTTAGAGAGGATTCCGAGATATTATGTGACATAAATGTACCACTCATTTAAGTTGAAGGAAATTTTTTATCGGACTGTATGTTGTACGAGACAAAATGTTGGGCGAATAAAAATCAAAACGAGAATAAAATAAGTGTAGCAGAGATGATGTTGCTGCGTTAGTTACAACTCTCCTTAAATTTATGAATTAGTTTCCTATATTTTAGGAGTTAATTAGGGGCAGTTAGGGAGAGTTAAATAGGCTATAGTACTATGCATCTAACAGTAATTATAGTGTGGACTGGTTAATACCAATTCCTTTAATAGTGCGAGTGGAGAGAGTTAGTTATGTTTCTATCTACTTATTTGTTGTAGTATGGGGAAGTAGGAGTTATTTGTGACATCCGGGAGTCAAAATCGAGATCCTTCCTAGGATTGGGAGGTAAAACATGGGACCGCAACGCAAACGGTAAAATCTTTTAAAAAATAAGAACATTTTACTTTAAATGATTATTGGCAACTAATACATATAATAATTATTGAGTTCCAACACTAACTAAAGGTATGGTTAAATTATTTCCTACTAGTTACTAGGTTTCAGCAATCCTCATCTCTTGAGCTAGCTTTTGGGGATGCGTTAATCTTAACCCAAAATCTAAGACGGTATCCGTCTAATCTAAATCAATTATTGGGCCACCCATATTTGTCCATGCTCCGGAGGCCAGATGTCTAATCATAGGTGTGAGGGTGTGTTAATAGCTTCGATATTGAGCCATCCATATTTGTCCATGCTTAAAATGTCCAACCGTGAGTGTGAGGGGGGCGTGTTGAGATCCCACATTCATTAGATATATGGTCATATTGCTATTAGTTTTTACAATGCTTGGACAATCCTCACATCTTGGGGATTAAGTTAGGCTTAACATATTCTTAGAATAATATAATATTAAAATTCTAGCAAGAAATTTCTTGCTTATTTACGTTGGAGTATTGTAATATTATTGTCCTAGTTTTTATTTTTTATATGATAAAGAACACGGAAATCTAAGGGGGGCTGACTGAGAGAAAATAGGATAGAAAGGGAGATGTTATACTTCAAATTAAAGTTAAAGTAAAAGTAAAAATCTTTTGTAATATTTATTTTATGTTTGATACTTATTATGAAAATATAAGGAACAGAGAAAATAGGACATAGGGAGATGTTGTAGTTCAGAAGAAGGCTCTGTAAACATTGTTGAGGAAAGGCATCAATCACATTTTCCAAATTAATTAGGCTCAAATAAATAGTTAAAACCTACTTCTGTCATCGTTCCTTTATAACTCATGTCTACAAAATCGAACCAATTTGTAAGGCGAGGGTTGTCCAAACTTTAAACACTAAACATGCCATATCTTTAAGCAATGGTGGACTAAATTCACCCTTTCAAATCCAACACAATGAAGGTGTTGGAGGCTACAATGAAGGCGAGCCAGATGCTGCAATTAAGCGACTAGGGGCGGACTGCAATGAAGATGGAGTTTCCAGTACTACATGAACATCTATTACAAGAACTCAACCAGAATCAAAAACAAAATTATTGATTGAGAAATTAAAAGTGTTAAGAGTCCCACATCAGACAATATATGACCTGAACATGTGTTTATAAGTGGGGGTAATCCTCACCTTACAAGCCGGTTTTGTAGGGTCGAGTTAGGCCCAATCGCACATTCTAAGATGATATCAGAGCTTCATCTAAGATCCATCGGGCCACCCACCATTTAGTTCCACGCTCCAGCTCAACCCACATATTCTAAGATGGTATCAGAGCTTCATCTAAGATCCATTGGGCCACCCACCATTTACTTCCACGCTCTAGCCCCTATTCCTGGGCGTGGGAGGGGGGTGTTAAGAGTCCTACATCGGACAATATATGGCCTGAACATGTGTTTATAAGTGGGGGCAATCCTCACCTTACAAGCCGGTTTTGTAGGATCGAGTTAGGTCTAATCATACATTCTAAGAAAAAGTGACATTTTTATGTAGGGACTAAAAAGTTATTTATGCCAATTAATTATTTCTAATTTTTTTCCCTTTTTGTATTTTTTTTGTTTCTTTTTTCGATATGAAATTTCCAACATACTTGCTTTTGTTTCTACATTCTTATGCAGCTCATGATTGTCCTTTTATGCAGACCTATCTTGCATTTTTTCTCATGTTACTTTTCAAGGAAAAGTTCTCATGTAAGTTGCCAAGGGAGCATCATATTTTTCACGTGATATATTTACTTGTTGTTAGATTAGTAATTGACCAATAAGCTTAAGTTTATATAGAATTGTGTTACCAAATTGATTTCAAATTTCCGTATAAAAAGTATTAAATGTGGAAAATAACTCAAAATGACCCTTAAAAAACCATGTCATAGAGATTCAACAAAGTTTTACACTTGCCCGTTGACTGCCTCACACAACCCTCCCTTTTATTTCATTCTTGACCTTCGAAAGGGAGATTGTTGGCATGTTCCCATGTTGACATAATTCAATTTCAAGGCTTTAATTTTTCAAGACTTGAGAGAGTGTGTTGGAATTTTGACAAATTGGGATAACCTAGACCTTGATAAAAGAAGATTTGGAGAATTTTATGGCCTATCCTTGATATGTTGTTGGGTCACCCATATTTCTAATGCATTAGACCCAATAGCCTGTGTGAGAGAGTTTATTTTTTTGTGGAGAAAAGCCCAGGTTCCACAACGCTTTGATTGGGAAATCCTACTTTGCAAGCCAATTTTGTAAGATTGAGCTATACCCAAAATCTAAGAACGTGAGGGTTAATTTCAAGCTTTATTTAGGTAGAACTGAAAAATATTTCTTTGCTGAGCCACATTAGTTTTTAATTTGGCATCCTCATATCATGCAGACTGATCTCCGATATATTTTACATCTTAGAAAGAACCTTTTGAAGGCAGTTTTGAATCATCTTGATTGGAAGGTATGCTTTTCTTTAAATTGTGATTAACAAAGTATTTTATTCTTCTTTATGTTTATACTTATACAATTAGGAAAACATATAATTTAGAATAGACAACTTGTATTACTCAACGAAATTGTACACATATAAACCTGAGAGAATCTCTTAAATTAATGAAAAGAATTATAAAAATATATATATATATATATATATATAATAACAAATTGACAAAATAATCCCAGTTATGACAATAATTAAAACTCTCCCACAAGCTGGAGCATAAATCACATGCATCTAGCTTGTTACACATATATAATCAATCTGAGGTCCATCACTGATGAGGTTTTAACTATGACCTGAATGATCTTATCTCAGATAAAGTGGCAATCAACTATTACATTTTAGTCCTCTCATGAAAGGAGGGGATTTAAGAAAGATGCAACGCTGACTGGTTATTAAATTTGACCTCAGATATGACCTAATTCATCTTGGAGTAAATGTGTCGACCATAAAAGTTGACATGTAATGCACAGTTCATAACCCGATACGTTACCTCTGTTGGTGACCTTTCAACAACAATTTTCATATTGCTTTTCAATGAAATTAAGTTCCAAAACACAAATTTGAAGTGGACTGTCTATCACTCAAACCACCTGCCCGATTTGCATTTGAATATCTAATAATATATAATTTTTTCAGACGATCCTTTAACATACGTCAAGATCCTAACCACTACATTCTAATGGTTATCACAAGGCGAGTTTAGCAATTGACTTGCAGTACTGTCATAAAAGGAGATAACTGGTTTGGTCATAATGATAGTAGAATTTGGAGTGAGGCTTTGATACCAAGTTGAATAGCTTAAAATGATTAACTTGCATCACACAAAGGAATGTGCAAATATATAAATGCAAGAGATAATCTCTTAAAATAAGGAAAAGATAATAATCTAAGGAACCTGTATGAACCATATTAAATCCAATGAATAATTATAATTCTGACTATAGTCAAGATTGAAATAATTCAATTTTCCCACTAATCTCGTATATCTACATGTGTCGGGATACGATTCCCCCTTATTTGGTAGAGGTTTCACATTGGGGTCCATAGGAATATCGACTGATTTTTTGAAAACATATTTTCTTTAAGAAATAACAATGCCTTACCATGAGCTACTTCAATCTCAAGAAAATAATGCAACCAACCTAACTCTTTGGTCTTCAATGTTGCTTTAGGTCTGCAATACATTCTTAGTCCTTACTTGTACTGAAAGTATCATATATTTTATCAAAGATGAATGTTAAAGAATACAAAATGATCCACCTCACAATGAATCTTGTCAACTTACTAAGTTACTTTGCTGGATTTTCCAAACCAAGCTCAAAGTAATTGCTTTAGGCCATATAAGGATTTTTGTAGCCTGCTACTAGTCTGGCTTTCAAATGATCCATTTGAACATCAAGGCCTACTTTTATTAATTAGAAATTGACCGTTTACTTTTATTAAGAGCTATAGGTAAGTAAACATGAGACTCAGGTGGGACTGCAACTGGAGAAGGGATTGGAACAAGACTTGAAACACCAGAATAAGTAGTACCAACATGACACAACTCAGTCATCCTCTGACTTTGGAGAATTGCAAGTAGAGAAGTGTTTCAAAGAGAGGAATAGGAAGTATGAGAGAGGGTAATGTTTGTTAAGAAAGTAACATATCAGAGACATAAAAATGATGTGTAGATAGAGAATAACCCCGATTCCCCTTTTGAACTTCGGAATACCCTAGAAACACACATAATTGCTCGGACATACAATTTGTCACAGCTGGAAAAAAGTTCATAACAAAATAAGTGGAACTTGAGGAAGGACAACATAGAAGGGTCCTTAGGAAACTAGAGTGAGAGAGGAGTCTCAGTTTCCAATACAAACAATGACATGCAATTTATCAAATGACATGCAATGAGATTAAGGCCACTCCTAAACTTTAAAGGTGCTGGAGCTTTGATGTACAAAGTCTGAGCTTTTTTGTTTAGCAAGACCATTATGTTGTGGTGTATGAAAGCAATTAGATTGAAATATGGCGCCATGAGAAGCTATGCAATAGTTGAATGGTAAAGATACATATTCTTTGGCGTTGAAATATGATGCCATGAGAAGCTATGAAACAGATCCGAGGCTGGAAAAAAAGGAAAAGGAAAAGATCAAAATACGTGTAATGGGCTTTCAGATTTTTATTATTTTTTCTAGGCCCATTAATCGTGAGCTCTGGTACCAAGTTAATTTGATGGTTTGAATTGCTTGAGAAATACTCTCTGTCTTTGTTATTCATAACTAAGAGAATACATTCAAATCAATAATCATATCCCTTGATTATACCGATGAATGAACTAACAATCCTAAATCCTAATCTTATTGAGAGATTTTCTCAACTGAATATAACTTAAATCTATAAATATCTTAACAATAATCAACAATAACAATGGTAAAAGGGCTCCACCTCGAATCACTCTAGTATTATGATATTATACACTTATACTACTATATGTAACAATATGTTCATAGACACGCTATAAATTACAATAATATATAGGCATTTGTTTCAGTTTTCTGTTCCTTATGTGCAGGGTTATTCAGCATTGAGTGAGCGGATGGGTTTGTACATGCCGAGTGCTATATTTGCACTTTGTGTAGGCTGTGTTGCGTTCAATGAATGCTTTAAAGAAACTCCTCTAGTTTTCAGCTCTTTCGATGTCACTGAATCTCTTGATAATAGTCATAAGGTACAGCCTATCACTCTTCCACAAACTGATATTTGATTACATAGATTTAGTTGAACTGTTACTAAGAAGTTCATTATGATGTTTATTGTAGTTTGAAGACCCTAAACATCGATGTTTGCATGGGTTTTTGGATTGCTCTGTGGAAGCTCTCACAGAAATTCACAAAGTTTCCAATGTTGAGGTGTGAACCTTTGCTAACAAAAGCTTGTTCCTGTTAACTTTAACGGTTTTCATAAAGGGAGCTGTAATTTTTCAGGTTTCAGAGCTACAAGTATTTCCAGGCATACGGGTTCCTCAAGAAATACGTGATCAGCTTTTGCTTGAAATGGAGACCTCTATTCTTGAAATGTTGGCAGAAGAGGAAAATAATGGGACTCATTTACCTGATATTTTCTTAAAATGTTCTCTCTTGTCTAATCTACTATATGGTTATTTCTTCACAAGGTTTGTCACTTTACAGTCATGCTCTATGTAGCTGTTTAAAAGTTATAACTATGGTACTGAAGTTATGGTGTTTATTTTTGCAAATCCAATTAGACTTGTATATTAAGGCGATAAAGGGGATTGAAGAAAGCAATGCAATGGAATATTATGTAGGGCCTTAAATTAGTATTACCGGTGACTAAGTAGAAAAACAATAAGTTGAAAAGCTTAATAATGAGTACCGGCTACCGGGCATATTGAGTAAATGGGAACTAGTGTTAAGTATCCTCATGATGGTTGCAGTATCTAAGAATCCTTCTATTTTGTCACACCTCCCTATATTGAGGAGAAGGCATGTTTTCTTCAATAAACACCACACTTTTCACTCTACTACTTTTCTTTTGCCAATTTCTCTACCTTTTTTAGTTCTAGGAACTAGTTCAAACACTAATATCAGTGCTTCGAATATCTTGTGACTACGGTTGACTCGAAGGAGCATGCGATGATTCCAAATATATGATCATATTGTTAATTCACATCACCATAATTCTTAGATTGAGAGACTGGTGAATGATATGCTGTAAGAAAATGTCATAAGGCCAATCACAAGTCCAATCTTAGTGAATAAAATTGATGGGAGTCGGAGATTTTGTGTGGACTATTGGATTCTAAATAAAGTCACATCGAATAGATTTTCTCTCCCCATCAAAATATAGTTGGAAGAACTAGGATGCGCAGTTAGGTCGGCAATGAACCAAACCAATTTGGAAATAATTCGAGACTCAATTCATTAATTAATTTGTTAAATTTGATTCACGAGTCAAACGAGTCAAGCTTGAGCTATGTATAGTTTGACTAGTTGGGTTCATAAACCTGTCTCGTTATATATATTGTTAGAATCTAAATATTATATTGAAATGTTGAATATACAACCACTAATCTTTATGTATAGAATATTCTAAACTAATAGGTCTTACTAAATATCCAAACACAAATTACTACTAATAATACTAAGAATAACAATATAACTATTATTCCCAGCTTGGAAACAATTCTTTCAAAGTTCTTGTTGTTCAGCCCTTTCGTAAGAAGATTTGCAAGGTTGTCTTGGGAGGACACATATGGAGTGCAAATAAGACCGCTATCTAATTTTTCTAGAATGAAGTGTCTGTGAACTTCAATATGTTTGGTTCTGTCATGTTGCACTAGGTTATGGGTTATGCTAATAGCAGATTTATCATCACAATAATGTTTCATTGATTCATCACACTTTATCCTCAAGTCTTTTAAGATCGATTTCAACCATAGTAATTCACATTTCCCTTGTGCCATTGCCCTCTGATTCAACACTAGATCTTAATTCTACACTTTGTTTTTTACTCTTTTATGTCACAAGATTTCCACCTAGGAAAGTGCAATGAGAGAAAGACTTTGATAAGACTACAATTTGTACACATGAAGGCTGTTACGAGTTTGTGGTAATACCTTTTAATTTGAATAACACACTCTTTGCTTTCCAATAAGGACCCCATGATGGTAATACCTTTTAATTTGAATAACACACTCTTTCGCCTCCAATAATGACACCATGATTTTTCTTAAATAGCCTCCTTATTAGGAACAATATCAGCATGATTCCTATCTACGTATAGCAACCCTTTTCTGGGAGGGTCCTTGATATAAATCAACATCCAAATTAATGCATCGCAATGGTTGTTACAGGGATAAGTGAGGAAGCATCTCATATTACATATGGAAAAGATATATCTAGTCCAGTGACAGTGGGAGAATTAAGTCTTCCCACAACTCTTTGATACCTTCGTGCCGCCCCTAATATTGAACCCTTTTGAAAGTTTGTATAGCTTCTTTTAATAAGATTACTTTCAAATTTTCCATTGGATTAATAATTTCTTTACTAAAAAATCTCTAATTGCTTTACATCTTTTATGTAACCAATGACTTAGAAATAAATATTATGAATGGTAAACTTGGAAAAACAATACAATTTGTTAACAAGCCTCAGCTGATTTACCATTGAAAAACAATGCGATTTGTTAACAAATCTTAGAGCTTTGAAGGAACTCATGATAGCGGTAAAACTCCCATTGAAGTTGTATTGTGACAGTAAAGCCGCTATAAGCATAATTCAAATTGCTGTTTAACATGATCGAACAAAACATATTGAGACTGATCGACATTTCATCAAAGATAAGATAGATTCTGGCACTCTATGCATACCATTTGTTCCCTCCTATCAACACACAAGATAGATTCTGGCACTCTATGCATACCATTTGTTCCCTCCTATCAACACACAACTAATATTTTAATTAAGAGTTTGACAAATATTTGAAGATTTGCTCAGCAAGTAGGACATGATTGATATCTATGCACCAACTTCAGGGAATGTTGAAATTAATATATTATTTTCTTTTCTTAATATTCTATTTTTAAGTTTATGTTTATTTTTTCTTATATCTCTTGAAATTAAGGAGTTGATTGATTGTACTTTCTCCTATAAAAGGAGCACTTTTATTCATAATAAAATACAATCAATATCATTCTCAACATTCACCTTTGTTAATTCACCGGATTTAGTCAACGTGGTTCGTCATTTTGTCAAATGGTTCTATATTAAAGGTAGCAATTGAGTAGAGATCTCCTTGATAAGGTAGGGGTTAACATATCATAAGTGCTGTTTGGTTTCAGTCAAACATTTTTGTTTCTTTCTTCGAATATGTCTATAGCATTCTCCCTAGCAGATCACAAAACTAGCCTCTATTGTGGTAACCTTAATTCCAAGAAATATATTAATTGATCTAGGTCTTTTAGTTTCAGTGCCGAACAAGTGTTGTTTGTACATTAATTTATTACAAGTAATGTTATCGCATTTGAAATGTGAGAACTTTTAGTGGTGACTTGTCTCATAATTAACAGGTCCAGCGCTCTCAAACCATCGTAGTTATTCTAATATTTTCAATTGCTTAGTTAAAATCTCCTCTTTAATTGCTTTTAGTCTTGAGACTCCTGTCACCTAATTTTCACCATTATTTCCATGTCTGTATTTAGTTTCTATAGATGCTTTTATGTTCTTTCAGGAAAATAAATGTTTCATTCTGTTCGAAGTTAAGTCAATACTTGCAAGTGATGCTTAATAATGCTGTCAGAATCATTCAAGAAGACAGTGACCACCTGGCCAGTGGCTTAAGTTATGTTCCTACATGTGAGGATACGGGTTCTCTCGCCACTTTGGTTCATTGTTTTCTTTCCTCACCTATATTTTGTGAATGGAGGGATCAAAATCTGGACTTTGTTCCATTTAACGAGGTTATCCAATCTGTGGAGAGACTTTTGAAAGCACTTGTTAATCTATATGGTGGTTATTCTCAGCATTTGACAAGTCTTGGATCTGATACGATCATGCAAGATACAGCTTCTACTGACAGCATGCAAAGTTCTTACTCACATGACATAAGTAAAAGCAGGATTGTAGATATGGAGTTGGATGTTAACGATGATTCAAAAGACGCGGATAGTGTACTTGTCAAACAAATTGGCTGTGGTGTGTCATCTTCTGCAGAGAAGTGGAAAGTTGGCATGATGTCACTTATTTCCTGTTTTTTCTCTGCTTCACCTGTTCTGACGTGGGATGCACTCTTTAAACTAATGGAAAAAGAGTATGACCCCAAGGTAGACTCTTGACACAGTCATATTTGCTTAACATTTGCAAATTTATTATTTCAATGCTAACATTTTCTTTGTTATTGAACAGTTTCTTTCTATTTACAAAGTTCTTAGATATGAATGGAGGGATTTTAATTTTTTTTTTTATATTGTTGAAATAGAAATTATTATTTGTTAAAGTGACACTAATAGCTATTTTACAACTGTCCCCGAGTTGAACTTCGTCTCTCAAGGTTACACGACAATTGTCTTATCACTAAGCTGATATCTCATGGACAGGGGGAGAGAGATAATTAAGACTTTCTAATTGTGATATAAGATAAAAGAGTCACTTAACATTGAGCATTGTTTAGATACATACTTGACTCCTAATTCTAAGTAAAACTAATTTGTATAATTGTTAAACTCTTCAATCCTAATCCTAGTTAAATAAGGAAACAAATAATGTAATATAAAAAATATGGAAACCAGTCCTAAGAAATAATGCAAGACATTCCAAATTGATATGAAGACACCTCCAGATATTATATTTTTTAACGTATTCTAACACTCCCGTTTTAAGTCAAGCTTACTGAATCTTAATCTTGTTACAAAAAAATCCTCATAATGGAAAATATAGTATGGGCTCCACAAAACATGGCTGGAAGGGCAACTCAAGAGATTTTGTTGTCCAAGAGATAGTCATTGTTGGAAAGACAACTCAGCAAGATGGCAGAAACGTCATCAATCTGAAAAGCTGGTGAGAATGTTGCATATCTAAGGAAGAGTCTTCTTGGAATCACCAGCTTAAGTTTTTTGGCAACTAGTGATACACAACAAGAACTAAAGTTTCTTCAAATCCTCCACGAACCATAATCAGAAGCTTTATACCAAACAAATATTTAGGATACCCAATAAATAAATAAAATTAAGAAGTGTAACTAAAGCTGCTGTTTGTCACAACCATGGATAAATTTCTCACAAACCGACTTATCAGTGAATAATAACCTTAAATATGACTCACCACGGGAGGCTGGTACAATCATTTATTTCATCACTAATACATCACAATTTTGACACCATGCTCAATTGTGTTTGGGATGGTAGGCGACAAATTGAATCTAGGATGTTGAGGGTTAGAATGTTGTTGCGATAGACTGAGATAAACTTAGTATGGGATAGCTGGGGCTGGACTTCATCTTGAATAGCTGGGTTCAAATTGCATTTGGTATAGCCGGAGGAAACTAGAAGAAGGACATGATAGTTCAACGGACTAATCTTAAGCTCTTGACAAGTTGTGGAAACTGTAGGCAGAAAATTCACTGGTAAAGAGAGCCTCAGAGAAAGAGTAACCTGAATTTGTGCGTGGCCAATGCAAACAAATGAATAATGGCGATGATAACATTGTTTTACAAAACTCAAGATTTTAGGGAATTCAGCAGTAGAGAAGCTAAGGGTTGTTGACAAGTTCACTTGGTCAACCACCCTAGAGTTGAAGGGGGACTATTAGAGATACATAGTGGGCTGCTATCTTGTACTGAGAAATTGGGCTTACCCAATCTTCTCCTATCTCTAAGTCAGAGAAAGAGTAACCTGAATTTGTGCATGGCCAATGCAAACAAATGAATAATGGCGATGATAACATTGTTTTACAAAACTCAAGATTTTAGGGAATTCAGCAGTAGACAAGCTAAGGGTCGTTGACAAGTTCACTTGGTCAACCACCCTAGAGTTGAAGGGGGACTATTAGAGATACATAGTGGGCTGCTATCTTGTACTGAGAAATTGGGCTGACCCAATCTTCTCCTATCTCTAAGTCAGAATTCTGTTAGGAATTAGTTACATCTAACTGTCTATAAATACTTTATTGTACTGTTAGGATCATCCCAATGAAATATACACTATTCTTCCAAATCTAACTCTACTAATAACAATTACAAAATTCTTTATTGTAATTAAAAAATTGACAAGTACAGATATAAGACATTTTTATATATTTTTAACACCTAACGTTTATGTGATTTTCATTCTTTCTAAATTCAGGTGCGTGGAAAAATATTGCATCATCTTTGTGAACATCCTCATTGGTCCTCTTCCTCAAAATTAATAGATTTGGTATGAAAATCACCGGGTCTAGATTTCAATAAACTATTTGTACGCGAACATCTATCACAGTTTGCCATGTGTTTTATAGGTTAATGTAATGAGCAATATCATTACCGAGCAAATTGGACTTAAGCTTGCTTGCGGAACTGTTTTAACTTCTACCCATGCTTTACTATCTAACTTATCTTCCCTCGACGCCGTTGGTAAGGAGAACTGTGGCTTCTATTCCAGTGAAGTGGAAACTGAACAGGTATCTTTGAATTTCAATATATTTGGATTTTTGGAGAAGACTGCCCTATAGATAATTAGAGCTTTATAAAAAAAAGGTTACAACTGAGGTAGAAAATGGGAGAAAATGAAGAAAAATGAAAGAGAGTGAGTAAATCTAAATCCAAAGTACTGAATTTATTAAATGAAATCTACATAATTAAAGTAATATAGAGCATTAGTTGAAAATGCGTTTAAAATAATTGTAATTATTGTATAGATTTGGTATACGCCTATCTTTGTCTAAATAAGAATATAATCCCCTTTTTTTATTTATTTTGTATTTATTACCTTAAGTCCATATAAAACGAACTCTATTGTGTAGTTGAAACACAGTTTTGTTTCAACTTGCGATGTCTATCTATATACTCACTGTCCTTTGGGGACAAATGTTTTCGGCAACCATGTTTCCGTTTTGATTTTAGCCTCTTAATTACCATGTTACACGTTACACCTTTCTTGCGTGTTCCCTATGCTGTCCAATGGCGCTAGAAGGATTTTCTGTTTGAGCACCCCAATCAAGAGGAATATTCTGCTGGTCTATGTAATCCTGAAGTTGTAAGTATACAAACCCACTTACATGCTGAAACCCACTTGCATGTTTTAAAGCTCGGTCTTTGCGCATGACGGTGCACCTTGAGAGTTTGTCAACGGATTCTTCCTCTGTCAGACCATACTAGTCCTAGTTGTGACCTTACTTTCTTATTTTAGGATGTGGGAACCAATCATTATTCTTGCAAATGGTCTCCAACCCAATCCCCTAGGATTGAGATTACCTATCTCCTCCGTAGACTATCAGTTGATTATGTTCTGATGTACCTAGATTTCCCTTTAATTTACTCTTTATTAGTTGGTTAGCTCATTCTCACGATTGATTACCTTTTTACCAATAACAGTCATCCCTGACAAATGTCTCATCATAATCGATGCCATATGTTTGAGAGTATCCTCTTGCCATTAGTCTGACCCTCTATCAATCAAGGGTGCCATCTGATTTGTGTCTGAATGTATAGATGGTTTACTTGCCTCCTTGCCTCTTCTTAACAATCTCCCAAGTTTTATTTTTTCTTCAAATGCTTTATGTTAAAATGCGAGAGACTAAGAGACATTTGAATAAACCGTGTGTCGAATAGCACAGCGGAAAATGATATATATAGAGAGAATTTCAGATCAACAATATTAATTACATACTAAATATATACTGATCCTATCCTAAAATATACTAGGGAATATTCTATGTTGACCCCATCCTAGAATATATAAGGGAATATTCTAGGAATATTCTAGAGAATATTCTTATTCTATATACAAATATCAACACTCCCCCTCAAGCTTGCGCGTATAAATCAAATGCACCAAGTTTGTTACATATATAGTTGGTTTTGGGGTTTCGTAGAGATTTTGTAAACACATCGGCCAATTGGTCATTAGAGTTGACAAAGCTTGTGGCGATGTCGCCTGATTCGATCTTCTCTCTGACAAAGTGATAGTCTATCTCAATATGTTTGGTCCTCTCGTGGAAGACCGGATTTGAAGCAATATGCAATGCAGCTTGATTATCACAAATAAGTGTCATTGGTTTTACATCTTCAATTCAAAATTCCTTTAGCAACTGCTTTAACCAAATAAGTTCACAAGTTGCCATTGCCATGGTCCTGTATTCTGCCTCAGCGCTTGATCTGGCAACAACATTTTGTTTCTTGCTTTTCCAGAATATGAGGTTTCCTCCAACAAGGACCCAATACCCTGAGGTGGATCTTCTATCAATGGGTGATCCCGTCCAATCAGCATCGGAGTATCCAACTATCTGAGTATGTCCTTTATTTTCATACACAAGACCTTTTCCTGGAGCACATTTGATGTATCTTAGAATCCGGATAACATTCATGTGTTCCTGACAAGGGGAATTTAAGAACTGACTTACCACACTAACTGCAAAAGAAATGTCAGAACGAGTGACTGTGAGATAATTCAACTTTGCAACTAATCTCTTGTATCTTCCTTGGTCATATAGTGGCTCCCCCTGATTGGATAGTAGTTTAACACTTGGATCCGTAGGAGTATCAACTGGTTTTGCATTTAACAACCCTGTTTCTTCCAAAATATTCATAGCGTATTTCCGTTGGGAAATCACCAAGCCATCTTTGGATTGGGCCACCTCAATTCCCAAGAAATAGCGGAGTTTACCAAGATCTTTTGTCTGAAATTGATTTAAGAGATGTTGTTTTAACTGGAGTATTCCTTGGTGATCACTACCAATTATGACAATATCATCTACATACACAATAAGATAAATATACCCTTGAGCTGAGTGACGATAAAATACAGAATGGTCAGTTTCACTACAGACCATATCAAACTGTTGTACTACACTGTTGAATCTGCCAAACCAAGCTCTCGGAGATTGCTTAAGACCATAAAGAGATCTGTATAGCCTACAAACCATATTCGAGGACTCCCCCTGAGCAACAAACCCAGGTGGTTTCTCCATATATACTTCCTCTTCAAGATCATCATGTAAAAAGACATTTTTGATGTCAAGTTGATGAAGATATCAATGTCGAATGGCTGCAATGGCTAGAATGTGTCATTATAATCCAACCCAAAAATCTGAGTGTATCCTTTAGCTACCAAGCGAGCTTTAAATTGATCAATCTTACCATCTGGTCCAACCTTTACGGTATAAAGTCAACGGCAACCTACTAAAGATTTTCCAGGGGGTAGAGGAACCAGTTCTCAGGTACCACTGCTTTGAAGAGCACACATTTCATCAATTATTGCTTGCCTCCACTCGGTGTGAGATAATGCTTCACCTGGAGATTTTGAAATAGAAACAGAAGACAAAGAGGACAAACAAGTATACTGTAAAGGGGAAAGACGATGATAACATAAATCAATATAATGTGGAGAAGGATTTCGTGTTTGACGTATACCTTTGCGAAGGACAATCAGAAGATCAGACTCAGGTTGCTGGATTGGATCCGATGATGGCGAAGGCGTCGGAGGAGAATCTGCAATGATCTCAGGGACATGTACTGCCTCAGGGATAGGTACGACAGATGTGGGTTGACGACGTTGATATGTTTGAAGTGCGCGAGAAGTGAGGGGGTCAACTGTAGGGGTTTTTAGTGGGACAAGTTCTCTAGAATGATGGGGATAATGGGAAATGGGACTTCCAGAAGAGGTGTAGGAGTACTTTTCTGAAGGGATTCCGGAGTGACTTGGGTGAACTCGAAATATGACACTGATTCGAAGAAGGTAACAATGGCCTAGACCAAGTATCGTTGCCGAGTGTGTGAGTAGCAACAATTACCTTTTTGGGATCGATGCTAACCATGAAAGACACACTTTAGGAATTGGGTGAAGAGGAGAGTTTAATAAGATTGAATGAGGGATTTTATTATTAAGGACAGATGATGACATGCGATTTATGAGGTAACAAGCCGTGAGCACAACATCCCCCCAAAACCGAAGAGGGACATTGCCATAGAGAAGTAGGGTCAAAGTGGTTTCTACGAGATGCCAATTTTTGCGTTCGGCTACCCCGTTTTGTTGAGGTGTATGAGGGCAAGATGTTTGGTGGAGAATACCATTGGATGACATAAAAGTTTGAAATTGTTAGGATAAATATTCACATGCATTGTCACTTCTTAAGGTATGAATAGACACACCAAATTGAGTTTTTATTTCTTTATAGAAATTTTCAAAAATAGAAAGTAATTTTAATATATTTTTCATTAAAAATAACCACGTGCAATGTGAAAAATCATCAATAAAGGTGACAAAATACCTAGACTCAAGAGTAGAGACAGTACGTGAGGGACCCCAAACATCGGCCTGATTAATGGACCAAATACAATTATTATAAATATTACACATTATTAACACAATCTTTTTCTTCTGCTTATCAGCTAGTACATGCTTAATGGCGTTTTTTTTTATAATAGTACATATTTTCATTATGTCTTAATTGTATCTTTGTACTCTGTTTCATATCTTAGCATGATGCTTCTGTTCAGACATTATTTTGGAATGAGCTTGGTTTATTTTTATATAGTGATGTTATTGTTATTGATTTAAGTATTTATTGATTTAATCATGCAGTGCTTTCAGTCATTGCGAAACTTGGTGCATAACCTTTCAAAAGTTGATCTTGATTGGTTTGGGCGGGTGAAGCTTATTGATTGCATCTGTAATCTTATTTCACTCCACCCTCAATTTGGTCAGGTGATTTTTATAATTTTCATGGCCTTTTTTATTTATTTATGTTTTTCTAGATACTGTGAGAATGTTCTAGATATGAGAGAGAATTGGGAGAGAATTTTTATAATTTTTATGTTTATGGTGAAAATGTTTTTATCTGTCGTATTTCAGTTATTATATCGGTATCTATCAAGATTTCGTTAGACTTACCTTAACCTATTAAACGTTACAATTTAAGCTGCAACTGCCTAATCATAATCTTACTATTGCAAGTGTTGGTAATAGAAAAATAACTGCACTGATTTGCACGCTAATCACTACATAGTGACACCTTGTATTAGTTCTAACTTTAATACGTATCCGGTTATCCTTTGTTTTTTCTGTTTTGACAGACAATGATAGAAAAATTACTTATGATGCTCAATGATATGGATTATCGAGTTCGTTTGTCATTTGCAAGAAGGGCTGGTGTTCTTTTCCAAACATGGGATGGTCATGAAGAGCTTTTTCAGGACTTATGGTAAGTTTCACTTCAAATAATCATGACAACACAATACTTCAATTGAAATGAGTTTTTCACAATATGATGCCCACATTAATTGTTTTACGATTAGACCTTATTTGAGGAAGTTTTTGGAGTTTAGAGTTGTAATTTTTGTTTTGTTTATTATTATCCTACAATAGTAAACATTTATTTGCACTTCCATGTGTTAGGAATATTAATGTTATTGTAGTATTTGTTGTATCTGAGCCATGGGCTTCTAGCTTAGCTCTATTAGTACTATCGTAACTGCCTCAGGCAGTTTTCTGTTAGTGCCAGCTGTATCTTCTTTAGGCAGTTACAGCAATTACAATTATCGATAGTTTTTCTTAAGAATTGTGGTTTAGGCGTAACTCAACCCCACACAATTGATTTGTAAGGTGAGGATTTCCCCCACTTATAAACATATGTTCAGGTCACGTATTGTCCGATGGAACTCTTAACACACTCCCTCAGGCCCAGGTGTGTGAATATAAATGGTGAGTGGTCCAATAGCAGGTGACCCAACGGATCTTAAACCGAACCCTCATACCATCTTAGAATGTGTGGGTTAAGCCTAACTCATCCCTACAAAATGGCTTGTAAGTTGAGGGGTGCCAATCTATATAAACTATAATTAGGCTCTATCTTTAATCAATAGTTTTGGGCGTGAGAGGGGGTGTATTGGTAAAAACCCAAGTCCTACATTGGTTAAAGATAGAGCTTAATAAGAATTTATATGAAGTGACACAAGTTGGTTTTGTTGAGATGAGTTAGGCCCAATCCATACTTTCTAAGACAATTGTGTAAATACCGCTCTTGAATCTCTTCAGGTTCAAAATGAAAAATAGTCAAATTTATTCTCCTTAGCTTCTCTAAACTCTATGAATTCAGAATTCTAAAATCATGTATCCGTAGGTTATGGTGGCCACTCATTGAACCATCAATTAGTTCCCCATTCCCCAAGAAAATATTCATATAAGGAGATCCATGATCATTCTCTGGCTTTGGTTGTTTTCCAGTTCCAATTTTGGTGTTCCTTTGGTGGTCTATTCCAAAAGAAAAACTATCAATGCAAAGGAAGTGCTAGCTGCTGGTCCTCAGCCTCAACCTATAATGGAAACAGTTTTGATTACGCTGATGCATGTTGCATTGCATAGTGAGAAGGTGGAGTTAGAGGTAACCATATTGATGTGATATTTCTTTTTGTTCACTTTAAAAGTTTTTTGATCCATTCTTGTGCTGCTGTCTAATATTATTCTAGTGTATCATACAAAATACTTAACTTTTCTTTTTATTTACCAGTGCTCTTTGTTTCCTTTCTGATTCTTGATTACTTTTTTCAGGCTGTTTTTATGATATGTGTGGTTTCTGCCATTGATCCTTGTCAAAGGTACACAATATTTCCTCGTCATTTTAAAACCTCCACTTTAGTAGCTTATCTTCCGTTATTTGTTCTAGGGAATTGGCCAGTGCTGTACTTGACAATCTTTCTAACGAGCTTCAGTATTTGACTAGAATGAAGGTAATTGTTTTTTATGTCTTTGTTTTAATTTGACCACGTGCAATGACTATTTGATTGTAATTGCCTATCCTGTTTCTGTAGTTTGGTGTTGCCAAATGTACGTTTGTGGCATTAGGTTGAAAAGTGTTTAAACTTGATTTAAAAGTTTGACTTCTTCCTTTTCTGAAAAGAAAAATTTATAGTTAGATGCAAATTTAATTGTAATTAATTTTTTATAGAAGATCCTATTTTGCTATTGAAAATTTTATAGGTAGGTGCTCATTTGTTCTATTATGGTCTTAGACAATAACTTGATTGTCATGCTTTTAAACTGCATCCGCATTCTAGACCTGAGATTGGTGTTTACACAATTATTTCATTATGCATTGAAGCTTCAAAAAGCTTATGAATACTAAATGGTTTCCTTTGACTTCAACTTTCTCAGTATTTAGAGGAACTTTTGGGATCACTTCTCTTTTGTTGGGTAGCTTGTGGTGTAAGCTTGGCTGCACTCGTTGAGGTAATTTGTTCGTTATATATTTTACTAAGTATTGAGCAGTGTTATCAAATAGCAGCCCCATGACTGCTATAGTGGATATACATGGCGGTTTTTGGACTCACTGTAATAGTAAATATCGGTCAATATTGCGGGTTTTTCCACCATATTTTTGCCTTTGATACTTCTCTACATGGCCTATCAGTTGCGAAGACAATCTGTGTTTCTTATATACAGGATATCAACAAGCTGCGGGTGATATTTTAAATTGAAATTTGATAACAAATTCTATGTTTCCGAATTGAAAAGTTGAACAATGGTTTTATTTCTAAATTTTAAAATTAGAAAATATTGTTTCATATATTCAAAACACCCTTTTCAAACCAGCGATTGAGGAAAGAGGGAGATTAGGGCGACCGGAAATGTCTTTGGTGAACAACAAATGCTATTTATGTGGATGCGATTTGGCGACTGCAGTTGTAAAGGGAGCAATGATTTTGCAAGGGTGAAGGCAATCAAAAATGTCTTTAGTGTACCACAAAGGCCATTTGAGTGTCTGCAAGTGTGGGGCCGCAGTTGGAAAGAGAGAAATGCCATCCTACCGTCGAAGGGTGAGATACACTCCAGGGCGCTTGGTCATTTGGTCAGGGGGTATAGTGCCTTGTGCGTGCATTAACACAGTAAGGAGAATGGTGGTCGCACAGATAGGGACCATGTCCTCGCATAGTGGTTGTTAGTGGAGATGGGTGTTGAGGATTTAAATAGCAGGTGACCCGAATTACCGATATCAATGACTTGGATTTCCCATACACCCCTTACGCCCAACAAGATTGGGCTTGATGTACATATATAAATGGTGGATTGCCCGAATCGATAGGCTTTTGATACCATGTTAGATTTATAGTTTGACGTAACTCATCCCTACAAAACTGGTATGTAAGATAAGGGGTGACACTCTATATACTCTTTTTAGACTCTACCTTTAACCAATGTGGGATTTGGGTTTCTCCCAATATATATTCTAGAAATACTAATAGTCTAGAATATCTACAAGTTTATTTAATTCTAACACCCCTTCTCAAGCTGGAACATATATGTCACATGCACCAATCTTGTTACAAATAGATTCATTCCGGTTTAGTAAACATGTTAGCTAATTGATCATTTGAATCAACAAAATCAGTTATGATGTTTTCTAAAAGAAGCTTATATCTTACAAAGTGACAATCGATCTCTATGTGCTTTAGTTCTTTCATGAAAAATCAGGTTGGAGGCAATATGTTGTGCAACTCGGTTGTCACAAATTAGTTTTATTTCCTTGAACTCTCCTAATTTGAATTGTTGGAGTAATTGTTTTAGTCACACAAGTTCACAAATTGTTACTGCCATAGCATGATATTCTGCTTCTGCACTAGATTTTGCAACTATGTTCTGTTTTCTGCTCCACCATTAGATTAAATTTTCTCCAATGAGGTTACAATACCCTGAAGTGAATCTTCTATTTGCTGGGCATGATATTCCGCTTCTGCACTAGACCTTGCAACTATGTTCTGTTTTCTGCTCCACCATTAGATTAAATTTTCTGCAATGAGGTTACAATACCCTGAAGTGAATCTTTTATTTACTGGTGAACCTGTCAAATCATCACCAAAATAGCCTATGACTTGGATATTACCCTTGTTTTCATAAGGTAATTTTTTACCCGATGTATTCTTTATATACTTAAGAATGCAAATCACAACGTTGTATAGGTGTGTCACTAGGTCGGTAATTAAGCAAGCCGGTTTCTTCAAGTATATCAAGAGCATACTTTTGCTGAGTAATAACCACACCTGTCTTGGATCGAGCAACTTCAATTCCCAAAAAATATTTTAGCGGCCCCAAATCTTTATGATTACCAATGTTGTTGATGTCATCAACACAAACCAGCAGGTAGAGGCAGCTGGTTGGTGAAGAATGCAAAAAGAAGACAGAGTAATCGACTTCACATCTAGTCATGTCATACTCTTGGAGCATAAAGCTACACCAGCCAAACTAAGCACATGGAGGTTGTTTCAAGTCATAAAGAGATCGACGAAGCTGACATACGAGGTGAGAAGCACCACCATTAATAGTGAAATCCTGGTGGTTGTGCCATGTACACCTCCTCTTCTAATTCATCATGTAGGAAAGCATTTTTAATGTCCCGTTGATGGAGCAACCATTGATGAATATCAGCTAAGGCAAGAAAATTGAGGACAAATGCAATATTGGCAATGGGAAAGAAGGCATCTTCATAGTCAATGCCAAAGATCTTGGTATATCCTTTTGCTACGAGGCAAAGACTCAAACAACTGAACAACATTCCCTACTCTAATTGTCGTCTCAGTACTCCAATCTGGCACACAGACACAACCATTATAAAATGTAATAGAGTAAGGTTGAGTACGAATGAGTTTACTGATATTTTATATATATATATATATATATATATATATATATATATATATATATATATATATATATATATATATATATATATATATATATATATAAAATTAAATATATATAAAATTATATATATATATAAAATTAGAACATAAAGCACATAGTCCCAAACGAGTGTGAGTATGGGATTAGTTTGACCAATGCCTTGACATTTGGTTTATGATCCGTTAGGCAAAGTAATACTTGGGAGTGTGTCCATACAAGTCAAAAACATGAAAAACAATCTGTTACCAAACATATGATCAAAGGTGCTTGAGTCAAGGATCCAAGGTCCGAGTGAAGAAGACTTTGTAACAAAGACAATAAAATTACCATTATGAGCAACAACGACAATATATCATGTAATTTGCATTTGGGCACTAAACTTTTAGCTTCAACATTAGCGTCCCAACCTGCATTATTGACACCACCTACCTATTTTCACAAGGAATCAGAGGGAGCGTAGTGAAACTGAAAATGGAAGAAGAGGCAGCAACAAATTCAGATCCATACATGACGATCTACATTCGATTAGAGACGAAAGATTGCTAAAAAATCACCAAAAAATGAAAAACACCTTGGAATGTGGCAGAGAGGGCCCTGCGGTGGTCAATACTGGAAGTTGGTGGTTGCAGCGGCGCGTGGGGAGGACTACCGCCGCAGAAAAATGACTGGCATGCTTGCCGGAAGAATTCACGGTGGTTGGTCGCAGTGGATAAGGGCCCAACTGGTTATAGCAAACTTGAAAGTGTATAAAGCAATGGCCGGACAGTTGATACATAAATGAAGAAAAATGTCAAGCAGCTCTAGGATGAATTATTACTGATACCATATAGAATTCTGTAAATTTTGTGTGTACTTATATCACACTATTTGTATTTATAATGATGTTATGATAAATACATTGAATGTTAAATAGAAGCACTCACCTAGAAAGTTATATATTCTAGGAATACTAACATATATCTACAGGTTTACTTAATTCTAACACTGTTTTGTCCAACTACATTTAGTTTAATACTGTCCTTGTGCTATTTCATCTTCTGATTCCACTACATTTAATTTAATAATGTTTTTGTGCTATTTCATCTTATAGAAAGCATATTTTTTCAAGACTTCCTTATACATTCCCCGTGGTAATCTTTTTCTTGATGAATCAGTGTGATAATGTAACACATTTTCTATGGTGAAATTTTTTATTTTGATAATGGCTTTCATTTGCTGTATTCTGATGAAATTTTTCATTGGTATTAATAATTGATTTCTTGCTCTACAGACAAGGCATCTTTTTGTACCAGATGCAGAACCTTGTCATTTCCTTCAGTATTGTTGTCCATGGCTTCTTCCTGCTCTGCTTCTTCATCAAAATAGTTCTGATCTTAATTGGGTTACCAAGGTGTGAACAGTTTCCATAGCTGATGTTATGTTTCACCTTAATATATAAAATGGAAGCTTTTGGATTTCATTCTGTAAGAAATAAAACTTATAAAGGCTTCAATTAGATGGTGTCATGCTTTCAAAATAGCCATTGGTTAAAAGATTAAAACTTTGCACCATCTCTTTCATGCGTTCCTGAATCATAGGTTTTTAAGCTCAATGTCTGTATGCTTTTTTCTCTAACTAAGTTCCTTTTTTGCAGGTCACTTGTCAACCTATGACAGTTCTTATAAAACACCACTTTGCTTCAATATTTTCAATTTCTATGGCTTTGCATTGCAGTAAGGAACCAGGAGCAGAGAGGGGAACTCTTGTGCTTCAGAGTTCTATTCTTCATTTTGGTCAGATATCTGAGAATGAACGGGACAAACTCATAAAGAGACATATGGTCTGGTTCTCTGCTCTTTAGGGCTGGCTTGTTTTACATAAAATAGTATTTATGGATGCCTGTCTTCTCTGTTAATTGTAACATTTTAAGGGACAATGATCTTTTTTATATGAATTCATTAAATGAGGAGAAATGACTTTCCTTAACTTATTCAATAATAATATGTTTTTAGAAAATACATCATTTTATATAAATAGTGTTTAGATCAAAATATTTTTCAGGAAAATGTCTGTTCTTGAAAATATTGAGATATAATTTCTACTTTTGGGCCTAAATCTGTCCCAAAAGCTAACTCATGGTGGTGAGGGCTGTCCCAAACTTATAACCCCTTCTCTATGCGGGGAATGGATATGTGAGGATGGCTCGATAATATGCTCATAGAGTTTTAGCCTGGGCTTAATTCAGTCCTTAAAACTAGCTCAGGGAAAGATGGTAGCCCCTTACTTATAAGTTATAACCGTTATTTTGGCTATATCACTAGTCAAGGTAGGGATCTCTGATAATAATATCTACTTATAACTATGTTATTTTCTTCTCAACATATTTTAGTAACAATTGCTCAAACCTCTACGTTTTTGCTTAGTTGTTTTCTGTGAAAACAAGTGGACTGTAAATTTGATGGGTTTTTGTCCAGTTCACACTCATGTTTTGCTTTTATATATATGTTTTTCATATGCCGTGGCTTTAAGTGTGGGGGCTGATATCTAATAAACATTATTATTCCCAATATCTTGTGAGGTGGACCCATTTTAATCATATTTGTTTGAAATTAATGTAAGTTATACAGCTTATAGTTTTATAGCACCCGTTGACATTGCATTAATAATATTCTTTATCATTAATTACTGGAGTTTCTTGTGGAGATATTTTTGTTGTAAGTTTTGACATATTATTTTTCATCATGTGTACACTTAGGTCTCTATTGTCAGCTGTATTTTATCTCTGTGCTCTTGTTCTTCCGACCCTGTAGTCCCTTTCTTTTCCAAGGATATAGTGTCACTTGAAATTCAAACAATTGTTGATGGATTTCTGGATTTGTGAGCTATCTTCTCTACCTTTGTGCTTAAATTTAATCCAATTACTATTTGTATCTTGAATCTTTATATATAATATTTATTGAGATGTAGGGATGGAAGTCACACAACCGCTGCTGTTGCTGACAAGATCAACATTTTTCGCCCTGATAGAGTTTTTATGGTACTTTTTTATTTCATATAACTCGATGAACCCATTCAGATACCCCTTTCTCTTTTTCTTTGGTTCCTGCTTTGGTGATTCTAATGAACTCAATTGTTTTGTAACTGCCAGTTTTTGGTAGAAATTCATTATAAAATTACAGCAGCATCTCATTTCAGGCATAAGTGCCACCGATTGTCTGGAATTGAAGTGCTTATTAATGTTCTTGGTCAAAGAGTTACCGCTTTAAGCACATCCAAGTAAGTTTGATGGACAGAGCATGTTTCTCATTTTTTAAGATATTGTAAACTAGAAGTCTAATATGCATCCTCTAGTAGACGGTAATCAATTCAATTGTTGTGCATTTGTTAAAACAGTCTAAGAAGTGTCAACTCATGTTTGTCCTAGACTTTCTTTGATACATTTGCCTTTAATCAGTGTAAGGAATAGCATGCTACAGCAGAGGAGTCAAGGGTGTGACTACTATAGCATCCTCTGTTGCGTCATGTTTCAGTGTAGCAAGCAATGTATCTGCTTTTGTAGCAAAAATAGCAGGAATTGTTGCACTATCCCGCAACTGCAAGGTTGCCAGCTGAATTACTGAAAAAGCCCGGAGAAATTAAACACTATGGGCATTTTTATTGGGGTATTTGAGGGGTTTCCGCCTTAAAACGCACCGAAACAACTTTGCATATTTTAGGGATTGTTTTTGTGCTTCTCTCCCATATTTCCCCAAGTCTCTCGCACTGCCAGCCATTTTATCTGTCCCTCATTCTCTCTCTCCCTCTCTCTTTTGCAATTGTCTCGTCTCTCTACATCTTTGACGAATCTCTCTTTCACTTCTCTTTCTTGTGTCATCCCTCTACATCTTTGACGAATCTTTCTTTCACTTCTCTTTCTTGTGTCATCCTGAATATTGGGGAATAAGCTTCCTCACTTTGCCATTTCTGAAGGACCCCTAATAGTTCTCCCTCAATGTTTGGTTTCACTTTTTTGCTCATGATATTTCTCCTAGTAGTTACTTATTGCCTACTCAGGTTGTTTAATACTCCCTCCAGTCACTATTATAAGCAAAAAAATGACCTTAAATCTTGGTCACTATTATAAGCAAAAGTGATTAACTTTTAGACTAATTAACGCTTGTATTACTATTATACCCTTAATTTAATTCAAAAGCATTTAATATTGGTAGTTGATTCATCAAATATAACTAAGAATATTATAGTAAATTTTACTTTGATTGTACGTAAAATCAAGAAAATTAATTACACTTAACTAACTTTCTTAATCTGTGTGAAAGTAGTTATTTTGACTTACAATTGTGACCGGAGGGAGTATATCTTTCTTGGATATTCCAAAGTCCAAAAGGTGTATTGTTATTCTCTATATATACACGTTCTTTTCATGTTTTTACTGATGTCACTTTCTTTAAGGCTAGCCCTCTGCATCACTAGATTCGACAACAGATGTTGGCTTTCTCCTTTCCAGAACTTCTGATCTGTATCATATTTATAATCTTTTGAGTTATCATTGACTATTTCCTTCTCTTATATGCCTTTGTTTTTGATATATCCTTTATCCCTATTCATAAGACTATCTAAGAAACATTATCATTACTTGCCTACAGCAAACAATATTTTGTCATACTTATAATCTATAATTTCTATAATTAACTTCTCCACCTCCTTCTACACGTTTCCCTCCTGATTAAAGTTAAGCTTTTAATTAGGCTTTGGCCCATGACCATAAACTTGTTGGGCCCTCTTCTTATTGGACCCATCCTATAGACTTTGTTGGGATCCTGCATCATATCATATTTATCGTAGTATAGATGGAGTAGAATAAGATCTAAGTGATCAACTAGTTTGAATTGGGTCAAGATCCTCCCACTAGTTTTCTTCTTTGACTTTCCTTAGTTGTAGCAGATTGGTTGTTTTCACCTAATCCCTGTGTGTGTCTATACATCTTTACTATGTACATATGCTATTTACGAACCATTCCGGTGTTCATTTGATCCATTTCTCACACATGTCAGTATCAAATTTGAAGTTTGAGGTTTTGATTTGTTTATATTTCATTTACTTTTTCTTAAATTTTGAATGAATGCAGTTATCTTTTCAACTTGATTGGACCGTTGATTGAGTGTCCTGCTTTACAAGACCAATGCTGTCGTATACTTTCTGCATTGTTGCTATCTTTTAAGAAGCATTTATCAGCAGATATCACTAGTATGCTTGGGGAACAGCTCCAGGTTTATATTGTTTCATATTTACAATGTTTTCAATTCATTTGATTTTTTTACTTTATTCCATTATTTACAATTTTTTGTTCTGTTCAGTTCCTTGTTTCAAAGTTAGTGGCAAGTTGCGTTCCTGCCAAAAGGAAAGAGTCACATGATAGCTCTGTATCAAGAGCTTTATCTCTGCTCCATATGCTTACTTTGGATTCTGATCCAACTTTGCATGATTACATCAAAGTTAGTTTCTTCTATTCAACTTCTCTCTGTTGTTTTAAGGATCTGGTTTTGTTATGCTTTATGGATGCATACAAAATATTTCTTGCAGGAATTGGAGCCATTCCCCGAATTAAAAATATTTGACGAGATACGGAATTTTCACGAAGAATTATGCCAAACTTACTCGATTCGTGAGCACATATTAAAGGTAAAGAATTATAATCTACTTGCATATTTATGAACTTGCAAATGCCCATGATTGCAAGCATGGTTGTGAAAATTGGGATCTTGATAAAGATCGTTAGGGTATAGAAAAAGTGTAGGATCATAAAACGGATCGTAAGATTCCAACAAATAGACAAAATTATTGAAATAACTAGGAAAAATAACCTGAACATACAATTCTTATTAATTTAATCATCAATAGCAAATATTTTATCCAAAAAAGAACATAATAGAAGGATTTTGATCTTACCGGTTGATCAGAACCTGAGAAGTGGCCGAAAGATAATCTGTAGTCGGGCTGTGATGTCGAGGCGAAAAAGGGGGTTGTACCTGCAAGGCACTCCGACGATCAAGTAGGAGTGGAAACAAGGAGATACAAGCAAAGTATTAGGTGGTGAAAGTGAATATTCGATACCTGGCCCTCACAGGTGTGAGGGTTTATATAATGCCCCTGGCGCATGGTCATTGGTTCTTGATTTCACGCCTGGATATGTGGGTTCGTGAAATCAGATAACTGCCAGGACTTGGTCAAACCGGACAAATGTGCTCGTAACTAGCCGTTGGTCCCGAGGATGGGGTTAGTTGCGGGCATCTCACTGGTCGGTTCCTGGTAGCCTGCACGACGTTGATGTTGGGCAGATTGAGAGGATGCTCGTCGGTCATCCTGGGCCGGTGCTGGTTCGAAAGGACAAATGACCGACATACTCGATAGGTAGCGGACAATCCGAGTCACGGTCGTGCGGGCCGTACCAAAGGAGATGTCCTGGACCGGGTCCAGTCAAGCTGTCGGGGCAATCTAGAACAGTAGCCCCCTAAGTCGTTGCTTCTGGGCACAAGAGTTATGACTTTAACATCTGCTCGTGGAACGGGGCGTGCCTGATGGGGAAGCGAGTGTTGCCCGTTATGCCTTGCTTGCGGGGAGACGAGGCGTTGGTCGTTAGGACTTTTGAATTTAGAGAGGTAGCGTGTTTTGGGAAGCGTGCTAGTGAAGCGGCGCAATGATAACCTAGGGCTAGGGTGTAATGATGACGATCCTAGGGTTCCTCAGGCGCGTGTCTTGTACGCGCAGATGGTCTCAACTATAAATACGAGAGAAACACGGCGTTTAGTATTTTTCGTCTTTTTCCTCAACTGCTCGTATTAGCTCGACAGTCGACCACCGTTCTTCGTTGAGTTTCTCTGCTCGCAGCTGCTTACTTTCATCTTTTCTTCTTTTATTAACTGGTAAGTTTCTGATCCTTCATTGTCGTTCGCTTTCACATTTTCGTTTTTTATTTTCTAGAGATGCATGCGGTTAGGATTTAAGGAGGATGCCGTTGGAGACTGTTGGTGGTAGATGGCGTTTCTGTGGTTTAGAATCGCCGGAACCGCCGTGGGGTCTCTTCGGGGATCTCGTGGTGTGTCGTAGATGCTTCATTAGAGGACTTAGGGCTCTTTCTGCAACTCGTGCCCGTTGATACGCCTCAGTGAGGGTTCTGGTCGGGGATATGATCTTCGTTTCCCAGCGCCCTTTCGCTTGTTTAGCGGTGGAAGGGTGGTTCTGGCATTGATGTCGAGCTCATCTTCTTCCTCTGCTTTTCAGGTGCAATGGTCGACGATGCTCGGGTCGATATTTCGAGCGAATCTACACAGTCTTCTGGGAGTTTCTCGGACGGGACAAGTAGTTCGTCGAGCATCCTGAAAATTTTCGGGGAAGCGCGAAATCAGATGGGACAACAAACGGGGGAGCCTGACGTGGGGGTGACTTCCGCCGACCAGGACAACTTGTTTTCTTCTGGGGACGAGGAGGATCCTCGGGATTGGGTCGCGAACGACCCCTAGGATTGGCCGTCGTATTTTTACGAGCATGGGGAGGATGTCTTCACGGATGTATACACTCATGAGGAGGGGATCCAGGAGGAATGGTCGTTATACATTCTTGGGAAAGGGAGTAGAATCTGCTCGAAATATGACAGGAGGCGGATCTCAATGTACGACATCGTTTTTCGAGAGATGGACCTTCGCCTCCCCTTATCCGACTTCGAGGTGGTCGTTTTCAGGCATTTGCGCGTGGCTCCCTCCCAACTGCATCCGAACGGCATCGCATTCATGCGGGCGTTCGAAATAGTTTGCGACCACCTGAAGATAGGGGCCACCATTCCATTGTTTTTCTACTGCTTCCACCTTCAAAGGAGCAAGGTCGACGGAAAGTGGGGATGAGTTTCCTTGAAGCAAGGCAATGAGAAGTTGTTCAAAGCCTATTTAGAGTCTGTCTGCCACTTCAAGGACAAATACATCTTGGTGCAGCCCTCCTCGACCAAGGCGATGTTGAACGTCTTTAGGACTGCGTCGGCGGTAAACGAGGACGACACTCCCCATCTAAACAAGCTAGGGGAGCCTACTGTGAAGCTGATTTATAAGTTCCCATTCGAATGGACGAGGAAGCACTTCGATAAAGAATTGGGTGCCGAGCTCCCCCTCTCCAAATGTAGGAATGACGGGTAAAAACAAAAAATGGATCGTTGTGATCTGACGGTCCTACGATTTAAAGATCTTTCTCTAAGAGTTCAACGCTCCAGGAAAATTCATGATCGTTGTGCCACTTAAATCGGTGGTAGGTTGCTGGAGCGCAAGATCGTATGCTTTCGGGAATTAGAGCGAGATCCCGACAACCATGATTACTAGCCATTCTTTTAATCTACTCAAGCACTAGGAGAAACCTCATTTAAAAGCATGCTATCTAGGGAAAGAATCAAGTCACTTAAATACTCTATCAAGCATCCCATACCACTTAATGTAAGACTTGGTTTGGACACTCCCATGAGAGTTGATGTTCTGGTGGCTGCACTCTACGACACTTTATTTGGTCTTTCCTGTCAGCCCTTCACTAGGCAGCCCTTTCTGAGCCACTGACAACCATGCTGAATCTGATACAAATTGATAAGTATTCTGACTCTTGGAGAACCCTCCCTTAAAAGCTAGCTATCAAGGGGAAGAACCAAGCCACTAAAATATTCCACCAAGCATCCAATACTACTCCTTGTGGGATTTGGGCACCTCATGATACCCAAGTCCCTATCGTCTTTTTTTACATATTTTATGGAAAGCTAAAACTATTTTCCATTTGATCCTTCCGGCTACCACTGGAAAAGTTTTCCTGCAAGTTTCTATACTTTTCAAGTGCTTATGCTCTCTCTGGGAGCCACCAAAAGAACCTATAGTTTGTTTATGACACATCACCATTTTTGGCCTCCATCACCGTCCTCTACAATACTGGAGCACATTCCGACAACGTTATCCAACAAAACTACCACTATTCATACCGTTGTGTGCCTTCTATGTCGTCTCAAAACATTCTTCTCTTTGGAGCTTCGAAAGATTCTCAAGTTTTGGAACCTCCACCACGTGTGGCGGCCTATCTGGCAACCTTTTTTGTATAAATTCTAATGATTTAACTTCCAACTGCTGCCTTTAGTTGTGCGTGCGGGCACCTAAAATAAGCTTTCTGGCACCCTTTTTTCACTTGTGCACTTAGCTTATACAGTCTGATTCGTAATCCAGCTTTATTTTCCTGTTTTGTAACGCAATGAGACCACTGTTTCTTGTGCAAACAGCCCTTTTCCGTTACATTATCTCTCTCCCCGATAAGGATTTGTGCTCGTTTGGTTTTGATGTAACCTATTATTAGCTCATAATTGGTTGATGTTTCTGTCCTATTGTGCTCATGGTTTGTTCTTCATCCATCTACTGCTACTTTTTCCTTTTGGTGCTTTTCTACAATCTTATATGGCTGCACCCAAGTTAACACCCTTTGTAACAACCTTAAAGCTTACTAAGCTTTAGCTTGGGTGAGTGTTAGTATAAAAAAAAATCAAATCCATATGTTTATTATTAAGTTTTGAATTAGCTAATCATATTAATTAGCTAATCATATTAATTAGCATTCATTATATTTCTTGTACTTGCTATTATAAATAGAAGTTAGTGTGGTATGATTTAGACACAACATTCAGACAAATAACAAATACAAGCAATATAGTTTTTTAGAAGCTACCCAAAGTAGCTTTTCAAAATAATTAGAAACATGTCTCCGTTTTCAAAGTCTGATTTTTATTAAAGCTTTAACAAAGATTTTTAAAACATTAAAAGGATATTTTAATAGTATGTTTCTTAAAGAAAAAATCTCGAGCATGAGGTTTACTTATTCTCTTTTAACTTGTTATCTGTCACACTGTTCATTTTCAGTTTGTAAAGAGGTCATGCTACCTTCCACCAAGGTTACTTTTGTCAAGGTAATTTCCTTTCTCAATAATCTTTCCTATTTTTTATCTTTCATTGTTTGCTATGACTATAGCCTGAAATTGCTTTCTGATATTCAAATATAACTAAATTAGTCTTAATTTCGTGAAAGTTATACCGTGTATATGAATTTTTCTAGAGAGACAGAGAATAGGAGGACAAGTATTTACTTAATAAATATTAGATGAAGACATTATGACTTGCATCTTGGTTATGTTTTATTGAATTTTCTGTGATTTGTGATTTTTGAATACGGCTTATCTTCAGTCTCCAGGCATTGCATAAGAAGTTACTGGTTGAAGAAACCTTTCAAAGAAGAGGGAGATCAGAAGGTCACTTTAAGGACAAGTATTGGCACGGTGACCATGAAATTGTGCATGCAGTTTGGACACTTGTTCACATGTGTGGCTCGGATGATGCAAGTGGTGTCAGAGAATTGGTTTCAGATTTCATTTCTAGGGTAAGGCAGAGCGAGGCATTATTAGGAGCTTCATGCTCTCCTTATTTTTTCACTTATACATCACACTTGCGTTTCACATGTTTTTTGTTTGACCCTTTTATCCCTCAATTTTTTTATTCATATATGTCTCACAACGAAATGGTGTATGTGACTTTGGGGTGGTAAATGGCAAGTTATGGGTGAGCATGGCCTTACTCCGGGGCTCCCATAGCATAATGGATACATCCCTTCCTCCAAATTTTTTTTATACCAGCGATTGAACAGGGATCCTTTCCATAGGAGACAAGGGCCGCTACCACCTGTAGCATTCTATTTGGGTTCCTCAATAATTAACTTTTGACGAATGCTGGGATTGTCTAACGCATTCTTTACTTCGTAGAAATTCTCGTAGGATCTATGAAAGCTCTACACTCCCTTTTTGGTGGCTATGATTTGAAAGACAGCTATTCATCTCGTAGCTTTTCTGACTAGCATATATTTGTTTGGAATCAAGTTATCTTTTAACTTTTATAGTTCTAATTTCCACATGATTATAAGATGAAGAAAAATAACTAAATTTTAAATACAACATATATTTTAAAATAAATGTAATGAAACTATTGTTGATTAATTAACTTTTAGCAACTAAATTATCATGTTAATCTGCGTGCTTGTCAAATTGATTATATCCCTTCTCGTAAGAAACTTTCATTGAGGCTGCACTACTGCAGGTTGGTGCTGGAGACCCACACTCTGTTGTTTTCCATCTTCCAGGCAAGAGTACTCATATACATCCAGGAAAATCAATTGATAACTTCAGTGTAGGGGAAACCAGTTACAACATAGATGTGTGCATATCTGAAGAAATTCTAGTTATCCTTATGAAATTACTAATGAAGTATCTGATGGATGATTCAGTGAAAATTGTTGATATGGCATCACAAACTCTCCGTGTAAGTGTATTTCACGAGTAATTAACCTTTGAAGAAACTCATTGATTTTATTGATTCTATTTTTGTACTTCAACCTAAAATTAAACGAGATACAGTTATGGATATGGCTGTATGCTTGTTTTTATTCCGAGACCCTTGGTATTTGAAAGCTTGCATCAGACCCCCGACAAGGTAAAGTTGTGATAGGTGGAGCCACTTAAGAAAACAAAGCTCTTCGGTGCTTAATTTTTCAATTCACAAGACGCAAACCTAATAAGTTGGGCAAGGGGAATCAAGCGTTTTGTCCCCTGGACCAACATATGTTGGTTATTGCTGTGATTTTTGGCAAACTGTTTATTAAGTACTTTTACATTGTGTGCCTTATTTGTATAACTTCAGTGTTGTAGCTCATTTGTAATTTATTGTGCCTTATTTATATACAACTTCTGAAAATATATTAAATGTTTATTATTTTATGTGCTTTGTACGTGTTATGAATTAATTGCACATGAATTATTGCTTCTATAATGATTAATTACATCATTGTTTTGGATTTACAGGGAATTCTTTCGACTGAAAGAGGCCAAAAAGCTTTACTGTCATTTGATTCTTACCAAAAGTCTCTCGTCGAGGTAATATTTTAATTCACTCAAAAAAACTTATCAACTTTATTTTTATTTTCTTTTGGAGTTTTTAAGATTTGAATAAATTGAAAGTGTCTATGATTGTGGTGGTGCGCAAGTTGGGACATGGAAGTGGTTAGGAGATTTGGAATTTGCAGGAATCACAACCTTTTCCTAAACGTTACTGACCATGAAAGGAGGATTTCTTTCTCATTATACCACTTTCCTAAAGTTAACCTTGAGAAGGATTTTTTTTTTCAAGCAAAAAGTTATAGTGAAGCAAACTGAAGTTGGCACCTTGGCACCCACAACCAAACTGCTCAACATCAAATATTATTTAAAAAAAAAGCTCCCTCTTTGAAATTATTGGGAGTGGCCGATTTCACCAGCCAAAGAAGACACTGCTTCTCTCTTTGGCGTTCACATTTCTGCATCCATATTTTCTGCACTTATTCCTTGTTATCAGGCTTGGTTTTTTGAATTCTCGTACCATTTTTGTTTTTCTATCAGTACCTATTATATGATAATTTTTTATTATTGCAGATACATTCCAAAGGCGTTAATATCGAACTTGTGGAAAATTTCCTTTTGGATTTGGATAGGAAGTCAAAAGGTAAAATAACCTGTTTCTGTTCATCTATTACATAAATCTTAATATGTTTTAGGAATGCTTGTAGAACTGGCTTGATGTGAGTGACATTATGCCTGTAATCTTCTGGTTTAAGTAGACATCTGTTTGGGTTGACTCTTATCTTCCCTGTAGTTTTTCTTTTCCAACCTTAATGTAATATTTAGCACATAGGAGGGTGAACTCAAGTGAAGGCCAGTTAGTTTTACCTAAATTCTGGCTGCCAGTTCGGCAATTCCATGAGCTGTATGCAATCACTTGCATGACAATTTTTTTGGTACTAATTCTCCCGAGTAATCATAAGTGATATGTTATACATATTGAAGTGAGGGAGAGAGAGAGAGAGAGAAGTCTCAAACTGAATTGTGTTATTATGACAGAGTTAGTTACAGTTTATAATAGAGTAGGATTTATATGAATCTAATCCTGTGCCGCTGCTCTCTTAACCTACACCACACTCTCACTAACTACAAATTAGTTAGGATGACATGGCACTCTAGTATATACTCTAATAATACAAAATTTATAGTACGAATTCTTGTATACTAATACAAATCATGAAACATAAAGAAACTTCCGAATCAATCCTAAGAGTTTAAGGTGCTGTTAATAACTTCAATTCAAAGTTAGGCCGGGATTGATGAAAAGGGATGGAATGGAGTGGCATGATACTAGATTTCGTTGCTTGGAATGTTTAAAATAGGATGTAATTGAATGCAACAAGATGGAATCAATGGATTTCATTCATTTATTATTTCCATTACTTATTTTCTTCAATTCCTATTTAGAGGGTATAGGATGAAACCGATGCAACCTTCTGAGTCTTTTCACAGCTTCACAGTGCAAACTGATCAACTTAAACATCTTCCAAAAACCTTTCTCTTGATTCAATTCAACCCTCAACCTTGATCTATCTTGTCCTTACAGAATTGTAGCTCACATAAACCAACAACAATCACAATTTCTGTACTATTGCCGAAGTCTTCAAGCCACAAGTCTATAAACAATAAAACAGAAAACATAAAATAGCAATTAGGCGCAGCTTTATTATCTACTCAAAATGCTTTCAAATATAAAAACATGCATGTATTTCATATGAATTTTCTGAACTGCTACAGGCCTTAGTTCATATATTTCACCATCTATTACTTAGCTATTTCAAAAGAAAAATCCAATTGGAGAATTCAGATCATCAATAGTTATATTTAATTGAAGTAATAGTTTGCCAAATTATAAATCTGAAGCGATGTTTAACTAACTAAGTCTGACCTACGTGTTAGAAGGACAAAGGTGTCCCCAATCAAATAAGTAGAGCGAAATCACAAGCTGCCTCTCCATTTTGTTTTGTAAATTTTATGACCACAATTTTGATGAGTTTTGAACTCATTTAGCAAAAATATAAACAACAGAAACTTGACAAGTGATGAGGGGTGACATTCTTTATATTTTTATATTGGGCTTGTAAGGTAAGTAGGTGAGTAGTGACATACTTTATAAAACACTTTTCAAACCTTATATCTTTTAACTATGTACTTGTTTTCCTAATATACCCCCTCACGCTGAACATTATTGGGCTTGTCTATGGATAATTTGGTGGGTGGCCCAAATGGATAGCTCATAATAGATTTTTTTATTGGGCCTAACCCATCCTCGCAAAACCGACTTTTAAAGTGAGAGATGCTACTCTTTCTAAATTATATTTAAGCTTTACGCCTTTTCAATGTGGGATTAAAATTTAACACTGCAACAATTATCCTTTTTTTTTTCAGTTGAAGAAATTTCATTGGAGAAGTCTACTATTTGGTTGACAGATGGTAAATCTTTTGAGACGTGGATTTGTCCTTTGGTGTATTCCCTTATTGTGTACTGCAATGACGTGGTACTGAGGTATTATGGTGCTACATTACTAAATAAATGTAGAATGTTAAAATCCACTAGCTTTTAGCAAGTAGCTGGGCTTTATCTTGCTCTCTCCCCTTTTCATCACTCATCTTCTTAGATACTGCTTCCAGATTATGCCAAGATATGGTACTGTTGAAAGCTGAAGTTGCCGAGCTTCTTTTGCCAAGTATATTTGTCAACATTGCTGCGAGGAAGGATATCGAGATTGATCTTCACAAATTAATTTCTTTGCAGGTCATATTCTATAGATGGAAACACTGCTCCTTTTCTCCTTTAGCTGTTTTACTTATTTATATAGAGCTGTTGATTCTGTGGTTTAGTAATATTGAAAATGGTGATGATATAAATTTGGTGGCACCACCGGTCTACTGCCTGAGTTGTTGGACAAAGTTATTAAGCTTATTACTTTTGCTTCTGCAAATACATTTCTTTCTAGATGGTGTGAAAATAAATTATAAATATCTTGATACTAAGTCCCCAAAATACAGGGATAGAGATAAATCGTATTTAGCTATGAATCTACTAGGAGGAAAATAATCATATCAGTGAAAACATGAGGAAAAAAATCAATACAATCAACGCTTTCTTAAAGCCAGAGCATATATGTTATATGCATCCAGGCTGTTGCAACTGTTGAAAGGATTTGGTGAAGATGTCAATAGTTGACCATTAGAACATGCTAAAGAGACAACATGGATTGCCATTAATGTGATAAAATGTACTAGAATTCCAAATCCAAGATCCTACATATGTAGTATGAGAAATACCAACTATGGATTTACTGGCGTGGGAATAGTAGCTGAGGAGGAGACTGACAGAGCAAACTATAACAATCTAATTGCAAAAAACATGGTTGGGTGATTCAGCCATGACAATTAGAGGCATTGCTAGGTGTGTCCCTTCAAAGCATACATCATTGGAGCCATTATTATGATTAGTTTCCTTATTGCATCAAAAAGAAGAAAAAAAAGATTAGTTACCTTATTTAATTTAGATAAGGGTCAAAGCTTAGTCTTTTGTTTCTTAATAATAAAACTAGAATCATGACTCAGGGATTGTTCTTTCTCTTCCTCCTTATATAAAGCCCTATAACTTCAACATGTACCTTAAAAATAAATTTAGGTTCATTTTGTTTTCTGCAAGTTGACATGATGTGTTTGTTGTTGAACTTTGCAGTTGAAGGAGCATATATTTGTTAAGTCAAATAAGATGATCAAATCAATTCAAGTGATTTTGAGTTGCCTTAATGAACTTCGTATTTGTTATGTCACGGAAAGATCTTCACTTGTGCCATCAAGGCGTGAAGTGTCCAAGGTGAATATAATTTGCTTGCCCTATTTTAATCTTACGATATATTATCCTTTTTGTTTGTAAGTTTGAGAATTTTACAATGCTAGAAATAGCACTATTTTATTTTTCTTGAGTAGTTCTTAAAGTTGCTTGGCTTTTTTATTTTTAATGAGCGCAGTATGCTTCATCAATCCATTTTTCTTTTCAAAAGGCTAAATTCACATCTAAAACAGTAAGTGCTATTGATTGTTTCCAAAGGTGATGGAGATGTAAACTCAGGTCCAAAACCTAACAAGATTTTTATCATTCATCCAGCTATAGTAGTTTTATCATCTTTAAATTATGTTGTGATAATTTTGTTCACCTTTAGTTAGATACCAATTATTTAGCAATTAAGGGTTTCTAGGGCACCATATCTAAGTGCTCTGATGTTGTTAGTTAGGTTGGCAATCAGGTGGGTAGAGGTGGGTTAGCTTTACCGTACTGTGGCTCGAACTCGAACAGATAAACCTGCACCCTACATATAATAAAGTTATAAACATTAAAACTCTTACTCACCTTGCTTCTAGATCATTTTTAATTAAATTTCTACAGTAACTATAACATCCCAAATATTATGCGTCTAAAATCATACTAGTCGAAACATTAAAATTTTTGATACTGAAACATAAACAACAATATATACATATACAGTGCACGATTGCAAGATATGTATTCATATATCATATAGATGTCAGGTACAATATTATCTATAGAATACACAGCGGAACTAAATACTGGAGTAGCAACTTCATCTTCCTGTATCTATGCTGTTAATCCTCTGGTCCGAACCTGCTTATCTGAAAAAAATAAACAAAGAGAGTGGGGTGAGATTACTAAATCTCAGTGAGCCCACCTATCTTATGGGTCCGCTCGACTCTACGGAGTAGACTATCCTTAATTTCATCCTACTAGCATTCACATATGCTACCTCATAGGACTCAAGAAACAAAACATAACACACTTCACAATAACGTATAAGCTAATGGCTTAAACGTTCGAGGTTTTACAAAAGTTTCTGCCCCTTCTATGCGACCATGTCCAATAAGGTGGTTTCCAGAATTTATCCGCCATCTTCTTTCAGAACTAAGTCTAGCAAGGCGGTATCCGGAGTTTTCCTACCTTCCGTCTAATGACACTTTCCTACATTTCGGACTATGTATTGACTAAGTTAGGAAATCCCAACTTTCACTTCCTTAATTCAACTTTATAAAATCAACTTATAATCACATTGTCAGAATGTCACGCTGTATCCCCCTTATTAACACTCTAGCGTGACCCGGGTGACCTGATACCGATGATCTGATAGCTGAGGGTCTTAGGTGTTTTATCCAATACAAAAGCATCACTCAATGCAATCCCACAGTGGATGAGATATGACCTAAACACGTGTTTATAAATGATGGGTAGTATTCACCTTAAGCTCAACCCAAGTTCTGAGAGTATTCATAATTATTTATGGAAATTCATTTCGTCGAAAGTATTTTAAGGGAAAAGAAAGTGAGAGAGACATATGGTGAAATATGTGTTAAAACATAGTGGAGACTGAATTATACTCCAACAAAATTATTATTAGCAAGGTCACATCAGAAGCATTTTTGGTGCATATATATAACTTATTCAATAACTTTGTAAGACCTCTCCTTTTCTCGCTGACCCATCATGCAAAAGGTACGCCGTTAGAGTGAGTGCGCTTTACTAATAGAATCCCAAGTAAAAACACGTGTTTGCTGGTCATTGGAATTAACAAAGCATGGTCATTTTACAATCTGTCTTGATGTGTTTGTTTCTTTGTTAAAAAAATTGATTTGAGACATGTCCAATACAACATGATTATCACTCTAACCTTCCAAAAACTTAACCTCATAAAGTAATTGTTGTGTTCACTTTTTTTACTGTCGTTTTGTTGGTTGGATGAGATAAGGTGGTAACCATGGTTTGGTTTTGCAGAACTCAAGAGCTCCAAATTATAGCTCAAAATCTCGGTCCACTCCTGCAAAGACGAGACAGAGACAATCTGCTGTTGTTTCTAATGGCTTGGCAGAATCACCATCTTCATGGGAGAAAGTACTGTCATCTTTGCAGATTGCCTTCAAAGAGTTCATTGTTTCATGAAGAATTTGAATCTAGAGAGGGCAATATCTTTGTTTCTAATTGAATTTAACACATCATTTTTTTTCTTATTTTTTCAAGGTTTATTGGCTTTCAATTGATTATCTACTTGTTGTCAAGGCAGCAGTTGTAAGTGTCAGATTGTCTGCTCTCTTTTTCTCTCCTTTTTACTTTAGTTCTGTATAATATCCTTATCCTTTAAATTTGTTATATAAATTTTGACTACATGTGCTTCTTGTCCTATTAGAGCTGTGGATCATATTTTACATCAGTGATGTATGTGGAACACTGGTGCGAAGAGGAGTTCAAAGCTATGACTGTTGGAGGTCCAGATTTCTCTCACAACGAAATGGTGAGCTGTACTAAATATTTTGATGTGATGTTTTTCCTTTTATTGACTTTAGACTATAATATATGTTGCACTATTTAAGTCATTTTGTTTTTATATAGGTAAACTAGATGCTTGGGATAGATATAAATTTGTAAACTGTTATTGAAGATTGCCTTGGTTCATGTTCATGTCTGTAACTAATGACATCTTTCCTCTTTGTTGGCTTCCTTTATACCAGTTACCTGCTCATATTGAAATACTCGTTTCAGCTGTCACTAGAATAAACGAACCTGATAGCTTATATGGAATTCTTCAGTGCCACAAGGTTAGTGAGCATAATCTCTCCTTGTTTTATCATCTCAAATTTGAAGGGTGGAGTAATATGTTGACCGGAGCCAAATCAACCTAAAAGCTTAAGTTTGCCTTTAGGTGCAGGCCCATTAACATTCAATCTGTGAGCAAATAGTTTTAGTAATTGGTGTACTAAATTTTACAATGAATATAGTTTTCCTAGCTTCTTTGTCGATTTAGGCAATTTTTTTTCTTCATATTTGAATGCTATTTGTTTTGATTTTAGCCTTATATGTTTTTTAATTTATTTTATATTGCCAATAATAGTTGACTTCTCAAGTTATCACGTTCGAGCATGAGGGAAACTGGGGAAAGGCTCTTGAGTATTATGATTTGCAAGTTCAATCAGGCGTCTTATTACAAAAGGACAGCAGTACAATAAGTTTATCACCGGAACAAGCTGGAACAGCAAAATCTTCATATTTTGCCTCAGAGGTTGAGATGAAGCAGGGAAGAGCTTACAAAGGGTTGATTAGATCATTGCAACAAATTGGTTGCACACATGTGCTTGACATGTATTGTCAAGGGTTGACATCAAGCAAGGAAGAGCTTCAGCATGACAAAGAATTTGCTGAATTGCAGTATGAGTCAGCATGGCGTGCTGGGAACTGGGATTTCTCTTTACCATGTGTAGGAACTAGTTTTCCTCCAACTCAAAATATTAAACGTGACCAATTCAATGAAAATTTGCACAGGTATTATAATTAGCTATTTTCTTTTATTGAGTTGAAGTTGAAAATTCTTGCTCAATAAATTAAAATATACAGTACACAAACCCAAAAACGCACACATTATAGCGTCTAGTGTTCCATGATAACTGTCATTTATTCAAACCCGTAAACAGGCATGGTGTGTTTGTTTTGTTAAACCTTGAAAAAAATGTGAATAATTCCCTCATGCATATTGGGTAAATATGATTCAGTTAATTTACTAAGTAATTGCTTATCTGTTAATTGTGCTGTAGTGGAGCCTTGGGTCAGGAGACCAGATACGGTTTTTGTGTGAACTGAAACCACTCTGTATGTGAACACAAACCTCTCCCAAAATAATACATAATGGCAATAGCATTTGAGTATATAAGTTGCTGGCCATGGTTGATTCCTTATCATTGAAATTATTTTTTTTTTCTCATGTTCACTTAATGTATTAAACTTGACGTTTACAGTAAAAGACTTTTACGAACCTCATTAACTATCCATATTCGGTATCTTTTTTTTTGGTGGTAATGAACATATGTGTATTGGGTAACTTGCAGATCTATGTAGGGCACGTTACTAGTCAATTTGGAATGAAAGTCAGTTTCTAATTTTTTACTAGTATAAACTTTTTTATGAATCCTTTGTCTAATTATTTTAATATTCAGTTGTTTAAGGGCACTCCAGGAAGGTGATTTAAGTGATTTCCAGAGAAAACTGCGAGATTCAAAGCAGGTAATATTTGTTTCCTCTGTTGTGTTGATGTGCTTGAGGACTTCAAGCAATTGAAACTGTTGTGTGTTCTAGGAGCTTGTGTGGTCTGTTTCTCATGCAAGTGAAGAGAGCACTGAGTACATTTATTTGGCTATCATCAGACTCCAGGTACCCGTTTATCCTAATTGTAGATCCTTAACATGATATATCTTTTTCCACCGTTTGTTCTAATTGTAGATCCTTAACATGATATCTTTTGCCACTGTTTATCCAAAATTATAAGTCCTTAACATGAGTGTTAAATCAAAGTTATTGGGTTTACATAAGAAAGGAGTGAACTTTGAATTGGTTTTGGTTTTATTTTGATGTTATAGAAAGACTACACTGTAATCACTCAGCTTTATTTATACTAAAATCTGACTTTTAATCCTAATTAACAAAGGGTCAATTATGATCATAACAAACTCCTGCGATGATCTAATATACTCTAATATAAGATTAGCCAACTTTCAAGAGATGTTCTAAGACATGGTTGATTTTAACTAATTTCCTGTATCTAGTGGATTTATGTTGTGTTATCCATAAAGCAATAAGATGTGTAATTAATCTCAAAGTGGCTGACAAAATGCAACTCAGTTGTTCAACCTCTATGTTTGTCAGTAATAGAAGACCTTTGAATCTTGATACAACGATAGGCTAAGCACCAAAAACACATTGGAAGGGAAAATGCGACAACCTTGAATGTACATCTTTATTCCTATCCAACCTTTTGAATCCGCAGCCCCCTTTAGGATTTTGGGAAGATGTCAGCCGATTGATCTTTGGAACTCACAAATTCAGTGGCAACTTCTTTAGAGAGGACTTTCTCCCGGACGAAATGACAATCAATCTCAATATATTTAGTTCTCATGTAAAACACTGGATTTGAACCTATGTGTAGTGCTGCCTTGTTATTACAACAAAGTTTCATTTGGAGTAGAATCTATAGTTGAAACTAATTTCTGCAAAGGAGAAAATGATGGACCAAAGTAGGGAATAAAAACTTCTTGAATGGTATTGGATTCAATTGAGGATGGTAGAAAATATGGTTTTTCTTCAAAGAATGTTTCATTTGCATAAACATAATAACGATTGTGAATTGGAGAGTAACAACGATATCCTTTTAGCAATTTAGAGTATCCAAGAAAAACACACTAAATGGCTCGGGGAGACAACTTATCTAAACTTGGAGAAAGATTATGAACAAAGCAAGTACTTCCAAACACTCGTGTTTTGCGACATGAAACAAAGGTTCTTTTGGAATTAAGACGGAGTGAGGTACTTTGTTATATAGAGAGGAAGAGGGCATCTGATTAATAAAAAAACAAGCTTTTAAAATTGCCTTACCCCAATGACGGACATGAAAGATTCTATGAAGTAACAATGTTCGAGAAATCTTAACAAGGTGTCTGTTTTCCTTTCAACTATGCTATTCTGTTGAGGGGTATGAAGGCTGGAAGATTGATGGAGAATTCCCTGTGATGTCAAAAAAGAAGTAATAGCTAAAGAGATATCTTCCTTTGCATTATCACTTCTAAGAATACAAACTGTCTAACCAAATTAGGTCTTAATTTCATGAACAAAAGAAGTGAAGCTAGGCAAAATTTCAGTTTGTTCTTTCATTAAGAAAACCCAAGTACATAAAAAAACTTATTCAATAAAGGTGACAAAATATCTATAACCCATAGAAGGTACACATGACTAGGGCCCCATATATCTAAATGAATAACTGAAAACAGTGAATCAACACGACTTTCAACTTGTCTAACAAAAGGGGATCAAACATGTTTTCTAATTGACTTGACTCACATAACAAGGTTTTTACTTTTTCAAGACTTGGAACCATTATTTTCAGTTTGGACAAGCGAGGGTGTCCTAATTGTTCATGAATAAGTTTATGTGAGGCGCAGCTCTGCAAATCCAAGAATCAGACTAGAGATAGTAAAGACCATGAGATTCATGTCCTATGCCAATCATCCTACCCTTATCACACTCCTATATAACAAACGAGTCAGCATCAAAGGTTAGTGAACAGTTGTGAGAACGAGTAATTTGACTGAGAGAATTCATATTGAAAGGATTACCAGGTATAAACAAGACAACATTTAAGGATAGAGAAATAGTGAATTCCTAAATTACAAACTACATTATACTTCGAATGGCTAAAAGAGAAAGTACTAGGGGATTGGAATGAAGCACAACTCCTTACAAGACGGAAGCAAATATTTATGGACACTCTTAGAATATTCGGGTTGGACCTAACTCATCCCTACAAAACTGGCTTTTAGAGTGAGGATTGCCCCCACTTATAAACACAACACAAACCATATTTCTAAGAAATGTGGGACTAAAGCCACCCCTTCAAAACCAACACAATGAAGGTGTTAGGGGCTGCAATGATGGCAAGCCAAAGTGCCGCAATTAAGGCGACTAGGGGCGGACTGCAATTAAGGTGGAAATTCCAACAGACACTAATCCTGCTGTGAGACGAACAGCTCCCCTGCTCAGCTAAACCTCAAGAATAGCTTTTGAAAATATATCATACCCTCCCTCTATGTCATCATTCTTTCTCTCCCTGTATGATTCCTGCATCCCTTTCCTCCACTCTCCAGCTGCCATGATGCGATTCTTGTCATTCCTCTTCCTACTCCCTTCTCATTTTCCCCTCACTTGCAACATGTTTCTTTCTTCTTTCGTAAACCTTCAAGAACTGTGAAAGCACGTTTACGTTCTGCATTTCTCCCTTATCCCATCGTTTTACCCTTCCTATTGATACACATTCACTACGGGTCTATTATTGCCACAGCTTTCTTCATGTGGAATATGTATTTCTTGTTTCTTTTCTATTTTGTTACCTAACAATGATTTGTAGAATTGCTTGAGAACGTGAAGTAACTTAAATTGATGATGAACTTCATTTGTACTAGAAATGTGTAGAATTTTAATCTAAAAAAAACATTTTAATTTAAAAAAAGCATATTTGATCCTACACTTATTTAAATAAATAAAATTAATGAGGCTGTTTTCCTTCTGTCTTCCATATGATTATTTGACAGATGCTTTATCATCTTGGCATGGCTTGGGATTTGCGCTGGAGAACTTGCCAAGGTGATAGTAGAAAGTTCTCTGTTCAGAAGCGAAATGTGTCTCTTGAGCTTGTGATTCCTTCCATTGAACAGGTATTTTTGCATCTGAGCCTTTCTTGGCAAAATAGCATTTTGTTTTTTTTTAATATGTAAAGTATCTGGATGGATTTTATAGCTAAATTTGATCCATGTAACTAACCCCACCTATTTGGAAAATACTTGGTTATTGTTGCTATGGTATTCAGGCAGGAATTAGACAATCATTTTTCAGACTACTTATCATAGATTTTGATGCCTTGCACTGTTTATGTTGCCAAGTAGTTATCATGGCTGGATATGGATTGGTGCTCAATTTTGCAACGGACGCAGCTGCATATGAGTTTGCTAGAACCATTTATACCATTTCGACGAGTTCTACTTCAGACTTTGAGTTGTAGAGATAATATGTTGCAACATCTTCTACAGTCTGCTACCACACTTCGGAAGGTATAAAATCATTGTTTAGCTTTGTTATGGGGATTGTGTTTTGCAATATCTTACGTAGTCTGCACCATACCTCATAAGATTTATATTCATTGTTGGAGTTAAAAAAAATCATTTTTGAGCCTCTGATTAAGCTACTTGAGCTTTAACATGGTTTTATTAGAACCACTTTGACCAATTGGTGAAGAATTCTATGCTTGCCTTTTCCATTCGGATTAAAATTAAATTTACACTCATAAGGTAGGCCTTTGCATTGTTTGTGTACTTTTCCTGCTTAAAGGCTTCATCATGCGAGGGAGTTATAGATTTAATATCATTATTGGACTGGTGGGTCTGTAGCTAACAACTTAAGCTTTTATGTGAACCGGTCCATGGTACTATCATGATGTCATTCAGTCCCAAATTATTTTTCTTATTTTCTTTTCACCATTTTTGCAGGGATCTAGGTTTTCTCAAGCAGCTGGTGCTTTGCATGAGTTTAAGTCCCTTTGTGTTGGAACCAAAGAGCAGCACTCATCTTTATACTGGCTTGGAAGGGTAAGAGAGCTGGCATGATTGTGTGTGTCTGGTGATAGACAATGACTTATGTTTATAGCAGAACAAATTGAATGAACCACATTGAAATGAAGACAAGATGGAAATATGATCATATTTTTTCCAAAGGAATTACAATAAGCATAAAATCAAATAGTATCAAGGCTAATAATAATTAAATATTTCAACACCCTAGTCAAGTTGGTGTAAAAATATCTGTTGGAAATTCTGTCTTTATTGTGATCCGCCCCTAGTTGCCTAATTGCTGTATTCGGCTTGTCTTCATTGCAGCCCCCAACACATTTATTGTGTTGGGTTGAAAAGGGTAGATGTAGTCTCACATTGATATGACATGTGTAGTGTTTATAAAGCTTGGGCTAAGAGAATTAGAGTTTGGCCTAATTCAACCTTACAAACCCGGTTTTTTAAGGGGAGGATTGTCACTATATAAAATCTTTCCAAGCTCTATCTCTAACTGTTGGAATTTCCATTTTCATTGTGGTAATAGGGGTGGCAAATGGACATGCCCGCTCCGTTTAGGCTCACCTCGCAAAAGCCCACAGAAAAACGGGATGGGCGGGACGGGCATTGTTGAGGAAGCGGGCCTAAAACCTATCCCCGCCTCACAAAAAGTGAGGGCGGAGAAGGGAAAGCCCGCGGACACTGCACCTTTTAAGTTTAAAAACACAAATTTATGTAAATGCACGTGTCCGCAAAAGTCCGCGTAGAAAATTAGGCGGGGCAGACACATTAGGCGGGGCAGATACATTTGAAATTTTCGGTAATTTTCATACACTGGAAATTTCAAATTTCCGATTTGTTATTCAAATGTTGAAAAACACCAGAATGTGTCTGCCAAATTTGGAAACATTGATCGGCGGTGGACACATTGAAGTTGTGGATGGATAGGTTAGATCGTGGATTTTTTTCTTCAACACCATCTGACCCACAATATCTAAAGTACTGAAATATCTCTTCAACTCTTTACACTCTTCATCTAAATCTCACTTACCCTCATCAGGACTCACATCATTTTCTGAAATGTGCAATTTCGTCCAAAATACATGAATTGATTTCAAAGGTATATGGGTGCCTAGAATTTGGAAACCGACAAGCTGACACGCACACGGTAACCCATGTGTTGTCCTAATGTAACAACCACACCTGTCCTTGCTTGCACCAACAAATTTTACTCTTTCTAATTCCTTTCCAATGAGTTGTATACATTGTCTCGAGACAAAATTCTACAATTTAGAATATAATGGGGTGTTATACCTATGCTTAATGTTGGCAATACTTTTTTGAAATGACACTCTGATGGAACTTAGCTATAACTTCAACATTGTGTTCACAGCATCCCAACTTCCACATAAATCACCACGACTTGTAGTCAACATGTTCTTTAGTCTCCAATGTGCAGACTCCACCCTAGAAATCATGAACATATTATCTAAACAACTTTCAAATTAATATATAAACATAAACATATTTTCATATTAATCCAATGTACCTGTTTGTTGTTGTGTTCCCTAAGTGAGTGATTATGTTAGTCCATGCAGCAACAAATCTTTCTTTATATGGTGTTAACCATGTTTCTTTCACATACTTGACAAAGGATGAAATATCACCACAAACACTCTCGAAGTGGTTGAGATGTACATCAAACTCGTGTTCTGTATTTAAATACATGTTGTTCCATTGATCCATGACATGTTCTTATCTTTCAGACTTCACATACTCTTTACATTTCATGCTCACGTTTTTTGAAATATGGAACATACACAACAAATGAGTTGCATTTGAATACACGGAATCAATATCATTCATTAATGCAAGTTTCCGGTCCGTCACCATAACATTTGGTAGCAATTTCTTTGAATAGAACAACTCTTTGAGCTTCCGTAGTGCCCATGTGAAGTTCCCTTCCCTTTCATGTTTCAAATAGGCAAAAGCAACTGAAAATGTCAATTTTGTTGATGTAACACCAACAATCTCCTGCAGTGGTAGCTGGTACCTGCATGATTAAAATGCACATTCATCAACCAACTCATGCAACATATTTTATGATGGTATAAGTAAAATTCTTACCTATTTGTCTTGTATGTGCAATAAAAAATTAACACCAGAGGAAACATATTCAACAACTTCACAGAGTCAGGGTCTGTTCAGAAGATATCAGCCACAATATCTGGGTTCTCCCTATTTCTAGTCCAACACATGTATTTCTCTTGATGAATAAGGTTCAATAGCATTTGCGTTTCTGTCATTGCACCTCTCTTGCCCATTCTGTATGTTGCTCTAGCTCGGTATACCTGGGTAATACTCGTGAGATTTTCTGGGTCTTGGTCTTTCAAAGCAGACGCGATGTACCTTGGTGCCATGTTGTACTTTGTCATGTCATTCACAAACTTTCTTTCATGATCTTTTAGACGGCTCAATATGTCATGACCTTCCAAATCCTTATCTAGTCTATGATTGTGCAACCCGCATCTAACCATCACCTTCCAACCGATACCACTTGGAACAGCTCTCAGCCTAAATGGACATCTAACCTTCATAGTATAATTGTCATCTGAAAGTTTCGCAAATTCATTTTTCTTTTTATAATTTCCTCCTCTGTCACAACCCATAATCAATTTATCCTTCCTCCCTCGCATCCCATTAGCAGTATCGGACCGAATTGTAACAACAACAATACCATGATTTTTTCCAGTAGACTGCCCATTCTAGAACTTTATCTCGTGATTCAATAATCTGACAATTACAAAAATATTACAATAACATATAATTAGTAAACTTCATCAATTTATAAAAAAAAAAACATAATTGTGTAAATGGTATAGAAAACATACGGTATATGTGATGAAGAACTGCGTAAGATCAGTACATGAATCCGTAGAAGAAGCTGAAGCTGCCGATTCAGGACCGCAAAGATATAAAACTTCATTTGCAGACATACCAGAAATTTCAAGTTTAACTGAAATTTCCGGTACACCGGAAATTTTATATTTCCGGTACACCGGAAATTTTATATTTCCGGTATAGGTTTTCTATCGAAAATTTGCTAAATTTCCGGTAAGTGTAGAAATTTTGTAAAATTAACTGTAAATTATAAAATTTCCGGTATATCGTAATCAGGAATTTCGAAATTTCAGGTATATCGCTATCTGAAATTTGTAGAATGTAAAAAATTTCCGGTATATGACAAAAATCTGTACTGGAAATTTGCCAAGAGTACCAGAAATTTCGAAATTTATCCCTTTAATCAATAGTAAATTTTTTTTGACAAAAGTAAAAAATTTAGAGTAAATAGTGAAAGGAATATTTTGGGAATACTGAAAATTGAGGGGGTGACATGTATAAAATGGGGGTGTCATGTTAATTTTTCATCCAAGCTGTATCTTGCCGAGACATTGCTTAAAAAGAAATCAGCAGTAGTATTTTTGATTAGGAATTGGCATTAATATTATTGTTTTCTCTGCTTCTGAATGGCAGATTGAAGAAGCAAAGCTTTTTCGCGCTCAAGGTCAAAATGAGATGGCTATCAACCTTGGAATGTACATATCTCAAAATTATCAAAGTAATGAAGGGGCTTCAGATTTATATCGGTTGATTGGGAAGTGGCTGGCAGAGACCAGATCTAGCAAGTTAGTGGACAAACTTAATTCTGTATAATGTTTAAATAATATATACTCATGTTTTTATGCTTGACTATGAGTTATTGTCTTCTCTTGTTCGTGTTTAAACATGTAGCTCAAGAACAATTTTGGAGAAGTATTTGAAACCTGCAGTCTCTATAACCGAGGATGTGAAAACTGCGGATAAAAAGGCCATGGGACGGAGATGTCAGACTCATTTTCATCTTGCACATTATACTGATGCTCTATTTAGAAGCCATGAAGAAAGACTTAACTCTAATGAGTGGCAATCAGCAATGCGCTTAAGAAAGCATAAGGTACATTTACTGATTAAAAATAAAAAGACTGGGGTAGATTGAAAGATAGTGAAATTATAAGCGACTTTAATTGATGTTGCTTATTATAACCATGTATTTTACAGACTGTAGAGTTGGAAGCACTCATTAAAAGGTTAAGGAGTTCAACAAAGGTAGTTACTAACTTTTTCTTTCGTGCTTATATTCCTTGGTGCTCTAACACGTGTAGTACATAACATAGGGGGAGAAAACTGACTACACCATGAAAATCCAAGAACTACAAAAGCAAGTAGCCATGGATAAGGAAGAAGAAAAAAAATTACAGGTATCTATTTTGTTTCAGCTGTTAGGAAGATTTTTTTGTAATTCTGTCTGCAACAAAATCACAAAATCTAATGAATATATTCTTTAATATGTGCCATTTTCCATGTATTTCAACACCTCAGGATGACCGGGACAATTTTCTTAATCTGGCATTGGAGGGATATAAACATTGTTTAGTCATAGGTGACAAGTATGATGTCCGAGTGGTATGAAGTTGCTCTTAGTTTGTTTTGCTATCGATAGATTCATGCACTTACACTTTATATAAACAGTGCATGTGTTGCAAGGGATTATAGTTTCATTTATCAAGTTTATTTGCTTTCAGGTGTTTCGAATTGTTTCCTTGTGGTTCAATCTTTCTTCTAGAAAACATGTTGTAAATAGCATGCTTAGCACAATTGATGAGGTTTGAATATAAAACATCGCAATCCCCCCTTTTCAAAACTTGTATTTGTGGGTTTCATATGTTCACTGCATTGAGTCTGTTTGTAGGTTCAATCCTTCAAATTTATACCGTTAGTATACCAAATTGCTTCTAGAATGGGTAGCTCCAAGGATGGTCAAGGACCTCTTAATTTCCAGGTTATGGTTTCCCCTGTACTCTACACTTCAAATGTTTTTCATATTTTGTTTTTTTTATGTAATGTAACATGAACATGTACCATGCAGTTTGCTTTGGGTTCTCTTGTGAAGAAAATGGCTATTGATCATCCATACCATACAGTACTTCAAGTACGTGCAAGTTATCTAACATCAAGCAGATATTTTGAATGCCTTTACAAATATATTTTTTCCAGAAATGAAATTTTTGACACATCTATGATTAAGGGAAACATTAAACGAACCTTATTTCTTTTTACCATATATTGATTTTCCAATTTGAAATTATATTTTCACTTATTTTCTTTTTCTTTTCAATATTTGAGTTAATTTTCTATATTTATGTCTATTATTTATCAAATATTTTAAAAAAGTTATTATATGTTTACTTAGCTTCTGGCCCTGGCAAATGGTGACCGTATCAAGGATAAACAGCGTAGTAGAAGTTCATTTGTGGTTGATATGGACAAGAAACATGCGGCAGAAAACCTGCTAAATGAGTTGTCATCTTATCATGGAGCAATCATACGACAAGTAACTTCACTTTTTCTATATATTTTCCTCTCTTAATTTTAATAATCTATGAATTATCACTAAACTCTGATTATACTATACTTAGATGAAGCAAATGGTAGATATTTATATCAAACTTGCTGAGATGGAGACAAAGAGAGAGGTGACCATTCTTTTTTGTGACCGTGAATTTATTTGATGATTAGTTTCTATTAGTGGCTTGCAAAGAGACTGAAATTATTTATTTTAGACAAACTTCTAATTGAGTTCTTTATGTAGGATACCAATAAAAGAGTGACACTACCAAGGGATTTACGCAATCTCCCAGTGCTAGAACTTGTAAGTCAATCGCTAAATTTATTTATGATGATGAAGCTTTCGGGATGAGGCAATGATTTTATGTTTAAGTAATCTCCCACTGCAAGGATTATATGGCATTAATAAGGAATAGGATCCTCTCCCGTGGGTTTTTCACAAGATAGTATCCAGTGCCAGTCCTCACCCTTAATTGAAATTACTTTCTCTTAAATTCAATAAAGTTCAATTAAATGGAGGGCTGAGATTCCACTGCAGTAAATTTCCACTGCAGAGGATCTGTTCCCCATCAATAACTTCATAAAGCGACCATCATGTACCCTGCTATCTCTATCTGTTTTGAAGTCTGCAGCTCAGCTATCTCAGTCATTGGAGTTTGCATAGAGATTTAGTAGCTTCATATAGACACACTGATGAAAGGAGATATACTTGCAGAGAATTAGTAGAGACCCTTTCACCAACGGAATAGCACCATAGATGCTAGAGACTAAAAAGATGGAAGAAGCAAGTGCAAGAGATCACATCCAAGAATTGAGGAAAAGAAGTTCACAAGTGATTGGTTTCAAAAATATATAAGATGGTGCATAACTTATAGAAAAGATTAGCCTAATTACAAGTTGCTTGGTGTTGGCAAAACGAAAGTGAAGAAATGAACTTTAAATGTGGAAGTTGAGAAGGCAAAGAACACGGGGCTTAAGTCTATAGTGCCCTAGGCATTCACACAGAATTCTAGTTTACTATAGACCCATGAGGGTATATAGTACAGTAGGCCCTTGCTTCCACTTTCACCAAATTCTAATTCATCATAGAACCAACTGGGTCTATAGTGCCCTAGGCCTTTCACACCAAATCAGTATGCGTATCTGGCGTGCTAACGATCCACGTTTTGCGATCTTTCACAAGCCGACCTATCCTACTTAACATCTTGTGCTTGACTACATTGTTTATATAATAATGTAATTACAATAAATAATGTGATTGCCAAATCTACTCCTAATCACTGATTTTATACTGCTAAGAATATAAACATGTAATGAATTAAAGGTAACATGTGATAATAAACTCTAAAAGAAACATCTATGACAGCATTATTTGTATATTGTCAACATTAGGTCTGCTATGCCTATGTTAAATCTTTTTAAAGCTATTTACGTGCTAAGATATTTCTTTTGGCCATTCAGGTACCTGTAGTGACAGCTACCATTTCAATTGATTGTAGTTGTCAATATCACGAAGGCTCTTTTCCTTACTTCAAAGGATTAGGAGATTCTGTTATGTATGTATTAATAGTTTATTTCAGAGATAATTTTCTTCTGGCATTTAATATTAATTCTTAAATCTGCTTTATGTTGGTTTAACATACAGGATAATGAATGGTATAAATGCTCCTAAAGTGGTTGAATGCTTGGGTTCTGATGGCTGCAGATATCGGCAACTTGCAAAATCTGGAAATGATGACTTAAGACAGGACGCTGTATGAATTCTAACAGCTTATGTTTTCGAATCGTTTTGGCACCTTTTGAAGTTATATTAAATTTCCATTTTTTAAGAAAAACTAACTCCCGTAGCAAGCATTTATTACAAATATGTTTTTCAAACCTACTTTTCTTTCAATTTTTATTTTCAATCAAACTCTCATCTAATTTTATCTGTATTTTTTGCCTTCTGATTTGAGTCAGCCAGTTTTAGTAAAATGACACCTTCCATCTGGCTCTGTCACATAGTGATTAGTCCACATAAATCTTTCGGTATAGATTAGACATAGCAAAAATATTTTTTTTCCATCCTTTTAGATGTTCAGTGTGTTTTTGAGGCATCGGGGAAACTGTACACTTTAGTGATTAATGGGATCTTAACATGATTAATGGTTAATGGATAAGCACAAATTGATTGGGTTTGTTTACCCGGTATCATCTTAGTTTGTTAACCCCATAGGATGCGTGGGGGTTGTTGATTTGTCTAGCATGTTGGTTCATCATATGGGCTGATTTTATTGTTGATGATCCTGTTTCTTGGGTCTGCTTTGGTTGTGTGGGTGCTGTTTTTTTTAATCTTTTGCAGGGTTTCAGGTTTTGTTCTATTTCACAATTTGTTACTCTGTTTTCTAATATTTGGCACTCCTTGTGCTAATATTGGTGCCTTCACAAAAAATTTAGCTTAAAAAAGATGCCCCTGCTTTTTTATTTACTTTGTTGGATAACCTTCTGAATTCTGTATAGGTAATGGAACAGTTCTTTGGTTTAGTTAACACATTCCTAAGGAACCATCAAGATACATGGAGAAGAAGGCTAGGTGTTCGGACTTACAAGGTATCTTTTGCTTTTTATTGTTCTTTGCCTCTAGTGCTGGTGATGTGATTAACTGGTATGTTGTTACACTGTCTTGTAGAGAAGAAGCTATAAGTAAATAGATTTAGGGAATTTCCAGCTAAGCAGTGTCTAAATAAGGGAAAATGGAAATGTGAGTATACTAGTTTTAGCTTTAGCTTAGCTGTTAATCAGCTTGTAAAGTTTGCGTTACAAGTTTGGCTTAGCTGTAGCACGCTTCGTAAGGTTCAAAAGTTAGTTAGTGGAGTATGCCACATCAGCATAAACTGTTTGGAACTGCCTCAGTTAGTTATCAGTCGGTGTAGGTTAGCACCCTGGCAGTGCATGGTAAGCAAGTATATAACCTCTTGTATCCTGATCTCTCAAATCCATAATTCATATCAATCAATGCATACATATTTATTATACCTTTTCTGTTTTTCTTACTCTAATAAAGTGGGGCTAAGTTAAGAGTTTCCTTTATTTTCACTACTCATGGCACTTAGAAATGTTAACTGGCCATAGAATATGCTTTTGAAGCTGGGTCCTGTCCCTGGGTTGCTTCATCTTATCTCTTTCTCCTCGGACTAGAAATTTGCTTCATGATAGTCATTGATAAGCTTTAGAATACGTAGGATATAAGGGGAATTTTGTTGATATTTGTAAATATATAATGTTAAGAATATTTGTATGAAGAATAGTCTCATATCGATTATATCGTATAATTAGTTGTAATCTCTCTATATATAATAAAGTTTACGTAGTGCTTTCAAAACACACGGTTTAACCTAAATGTCTCTTAGTCTCTCCTAATTCAATATGGTATCTAGAGCCTTCTAAGAGACAATTCTTCGCCGTGCTTTATCCGGCTGACCCACTGTCTTCCGGTGAGAAATTTTCTTCTGCAAGCCGTGTCATCATTCCTGCTTGCCTCATCTTTTTTTTTAAATTTTTTTTCCAGCGACCTCCGCCGCCGCACTGCCCACGATTTTTTTTTCCGGGGGCTACTGTTCACCGCCGTCGCCACTGCTCATCGTCGCCGCAACAGTTCACGAAAAAAAAAAAATTTATCGGAAAAACGCCTTCCTCCTGCGGTTCCAGATCCGCCCTCGGTTTCCTTTTCGACTCACAGAAAGTCGTACTCTTCTTCAAACAGCCCCAGTTGTTGTATTGTAAGCCATGAGAGATGTTGATTTAGTCTCGTTTACTAAAGTTCCGCTTATCCCATGTGAAAAACTAACCGGATTAGCCAACTATAACATAGGGCTCGTGCTGTCGAGATGTGGTTTCACGGTCAAGGATATGAAGAGCAACTAACCACCCAATTGAGTGACGTTGCAGCCGTCAAACTCGCTAAATGGAAGAAAACTGATGCCTCTTTGTGTACTGTGTTGTGGTTTTCCATAGCACCTAACCTTCAAGCGCAGTATCAAGCATTCTCCACTTGTTATGAGGTGTGGCAAAAGGCTAAGAAAGTCTTTTCCAACGACGTTCATTCTCTATGCTAGTCATCCACAACTCAACACACTGAAGTTGGAAAATATGGATGTGCAAGCTTATCTGAGTAAGTTTGATGTCTTGAAAGCAAGTTACGCAACCGCAAAAGATGCAATAGCTAATGCCGAACAACAGAGCAAATATTTTATGGTCATGGCACTTAAAGGACTACCATCAGAACTCGAATTCGTTCGTAACCAGATTTTATCAGGTACAACTGTTCCTAACTATGATATAGTTAGTGAACAATTGTTGCGCTTGGCTACACCTCATGTGTTTGGCCCGGTTTCTCCTCCATCTATTGCTATTCCAACACCAGGTGACATTGCTGCTCTTGTATCCCTTGGCAACAATCAGAATCGCTTCGAGGAGGGTCATCCAACTCCAAACCTCGTCTTAAGTGTGACCATTGTAACCGGCTTGGACATACTATCGATCGTTGCATGGCAAACCTCCACGGAAGATAAATGCAGCTCAAATTGGTAATCCCGATATTATGCAGACTTCACTTTCTCTTCAGAATCCTACGCCAAGCTACGAGGATTTTCTCAGTTGGTGTCAGACTAACCAGACCTCTGATTCCACGACTTCGATTGCACACACTGGTAATTCATTTGTTTGCGTCTCTCAATCATCTCCTCTTGGTCCTTGGGTCCTCGACTCTGGTGCGTTTGATCATGTTATCAGTAATAAAAATCTTTTTTCTTCCCTTTCTACCTCTGGTTTCTTACCGAGTATAACTGCCGCAAATGATTCTCAAACCCGATCCCAAGGGATCGATACTGTTCAAATTCTACCATCTCTCTTTGTTACTTCTGTTCTATATGTACCTGATTGCCCATTTAATCTACTGTAAGTCAGTCGTTTAACTCGTTCTCTTAATTGTTCTATCACTTTTACTAACAGTGATGTTATTCTGCAGGATCGAAGTTCGGGACAGACGATTGGCGTCAGATGTGAGTCTCAAGGCTTCTACTACTTCTCTACGTCATCTACCACATGCTCCACCACAAATTCTCCACTCATTATACATGCGCAGTTAGGTCATCCAAGTCTTCCCAAGCTACAAAAGTTGGTGTCCAGTTTATCTAAGTTATCCACTTTACAGTGTGAGTCTTGTCAATTAGGGAAACATACTCGTAGTCACTTTTTCGATCGAGTCAACAAACGGGCTGCATCCCCTTTTGATTTAGTTCACTCTGATGTTTGGGGTCCATCGCGTACCGTGTCTACTTTTGAGTCTAGGTATTTTGTAACATTTATTGATGATTTTTCACGTTGTACGTGGCTATTTTTAATGAAAAACAAATCTGAATTGTTTTCTATTTTTGAATAATTTTATCGAGAAATAAGAACCCAATTTGGTTTGTCCATTCGTACCTTAAGAAGTGACAATGCACGTGAATATTTATCCTAACAATTTCAAACTTTTATGTCATCCAATGGTATTCTGCACCAAACATCTTGTCCTCATACACCTCAACAAAACGGGGTAGTCGAACGCAAAAACCGGCATCTCGTAGAAACCACTCGGACTCTACTTCTCCATGGTAATGTCCCTCTCAGATTTTGGGGGGATGTTGTGCTCACAGCGTGTTGTCTCATAAATCGCATGCCCTCATATGTGCTTAATAATAAAATCCTTCATTTAATCTTGTTTCCAAACTCTCCTCTTCACCCAATTCCCCCTCTCTTCGGGTCTACATGTTTTGTGCATAATCTCTTCCCCGGTCTTGATAAATTATCAGCTCGATCACCAAAGTGTGTCTTTCTTGGTTATCATCGATCCCAAAAGGGTTATCGTTGCTACTCACACACTCTGGAACGATATCTGATATCGGCCGATGTTACCTTCTTCGAGTCTGTGCCATATTTTGCGTCCACCCAAGTCACTCCGGAATCTCTTCAGGAAAGTACTCCCACACCCCTTCCGGAAGTCCCATTTTCCATTATCCCCCATCATTCTAGGGAACCTGTCCCACGAGAAACCCCTACGGTTGACCCCCCCACTTCTCGCCCACTTCAAACATATCAGCGTCGTAAACCAACGTCTGTCATACATGTCCCTGAGGTTGCACATGTCCCTGAGGTCGTACCTGTCCCTGAGGTCATTGCAGACTTTCCTCTGACGCTATCGCCATCACCGAATTCGATCCTGCAACCTGAGTCTGATCTTCCGATTGCCCTTCACAAAGGTATACGTCAAACACGAAATCCTTCTCCACATTATATTGATTTATGTTGTCATCGTCTTTCCCCTTTGCAGTATACTTGTTTGTCTTCTGTTTCTATTCCTAAATCTCCAGGTGAAGCATTATCTCACCTTGAGTGGAGGCAAGCAATGATTGATGAAATGTGTGCTCTTCAAAGCAGTGGTACCTAGGAACTGGTTCCTCTATCCACTGAAAAATCTTTAGTACGTTGTCGTTGGCTTTATACAGTGAAGGTTGGTCCAGATGGTAAGATTGATCGTTTTAAAGCTCGCTTGGTAACCAAGGGATACACTCAGATTTTTGGGTTGGATTATAGTGATACCTTCTCGCCTGTAGCCAAGATGGCATCTGTTAGACTTCTTCTAGCCATTCGACATTGGCCTCTTCATCAACTTGACATCAGAAATGTATTTTTACATGGTGATCTTGAAGAGGAAGTATATATGGAACAACCACCTGGGTTTGTTGCTCAGGGGGAGTCATCGAATATGGTTTGTAGGCTACACAGGTCTCTTTATGGTCTTAAGCAATCTCCGAGAGTTTGGTTTGGCGTATTCAGCACTAGTACAACAATTTGGTATGGTCCGTAGTGAAGCTGACCATTCTGTCTTTTATCGTCACTCAGTCCAAGGGTGTATTTGTCTTATTGTGTATGTAGATGATATTGTCATAACTGGTAGTGATGAGTCGGGAATACTCCAGTTGAAACATCTTTCGAATCAATTTCAGACAAAGGATCTTGGTAAACTCCGGTATTTCTTGAGTATCGAGGTAGCCCAATCTAAAGATGGTTTGGTGATTTCTCAGCGGAAATATGTTATGGATATTTTGGAAGAAACATGTTTGTTGAACGCTAAACCAATTGATACTCCTATGGATCTAAGTGTCAAACTACTATCCAATCAGGGGGAGCCTCTATCTGACTCGGGAAGGTATAGGAGATTGGTTGGAAAGTTGAATTATCTCACAGTCACTCGTCCAGACATTTCTTTTGCAGTCAGTGTGGTAAGTCAGTTCTTAAATTTCCCTTGTCAGGAACACATGGATGATGTTATCCAGATTCTAAGATACATCAAATGTGCTTCATGAAAAGGTTTGGTGTATGAAGATAAAGGACATACTAAGATAGTTGGATACTCTGATGCTGATTGGGCAGGGTGACCAATTGATAGACGATCCACCTCTGGGTATTGTATACTTGTTGGAGGAAATCTTATATCCTGGAAAATAAGAAACAAAATGTAGTTGCAAGATCAAGCGTCGAGGCAGAGTATAGGGCCATGGCACTTGCAACATGTGAACTCATTTGGTTAAAACAGTTGCTTAAAGAACTTAAAATTGAAGAAGCAAGACCAATGACACTTGTATGTGATAATCAAGCTGCATTGCACATTGCTTCAAATCCAGTCTTCCATGAGAGGAATAAACATATTGAGATAGACTGTCACTTTGTCAGAGAGAAGATTGAATCTGACGACATCGTCACAAGCTTTGTCAACCCTGATGATCAATTGGCAGATGTGTTTACAAAATCTTTGTGAAGCCCCAGAACTAATTATATATGTGGCAAGCTTGGTGCGTTTGACTTATATGCTCCAGTTTGAGGGGGAGTGTTGATATTTGTAAATATATAATTAAGAATATTTGTATGTAGAATAGTCCCACATTGATTATATCGTGTAATTAGTTGTAATCTCTCTATATATAATAAAGTCTCCGTAGTGCTTTCAAAACACAAGGTTTAACCTAAATGTCTCTTAGTTTCTCCTAATTCAATAAATTTAATTCCTGAAAAATGATACAGTCAGCACAAAGACTTTTTTTTTTCCTTGCGGGCTGGAAGCATTTATAAAATTTAATTGCATAAGAGGGATATACTCGAGGGTTATATATCATTTGTTTATTTTGAATTGTACATTTTTTTAGTACATATTCTCTCCTTTCTTGTCCTACTTTTTCTTTCTGATTTATGGTACAAATTGTTCAGCTTGAACCTTAATCCGTGCATTTCATTGTTGTAGACTCCCAGCATCCCTAAACATCCTATATGTAATGTGGCTGAATATGCCCTTGTTTGCTTGAGATTGTGTACTGATTATTAATGTACTGGCCGAAAAAATTGAATTATTAAAATGATTGAGAATAGTTTTTTTATGGTTCAGGTTGTTCCTTTTACTCCAAGTGCTGGTGTTCTTGAATGGGTTAATGGAACTCTTCCTCTCGGTGAATATCTTATAGGGAGGTTAGTCAAAAAGAGACCTATTTTACTACAAAATTTAATGTTTTGTTCAACTTCAAAATGACTGGTCCATGTCATGATTCAATTGTGAAAACTTAAGCTGTTGGGTGAAGGCATGGGAATGGTTTTATATTTATTTTTCCTAGTCTAATACATGATTGGTTTTATATTTAACTTGCCCAATCAAGCAAGATCTCTTTAGCCTTTATGCTTGAACAATGCACTTGCTGTCCTTAGCTTGTGCTCAAAGTTAACTTCTACTTAGAATAATGAGTGCAATAATGTTGAACTCAAGAACCCATGGTTATTGAGCTTTTGATACGATCTCATAAACCAAATACCCAAAAGCCTAAGTTGTTGAGTAAAGCACCTGTACAGTTCTATATCTAACAATTCTTCTTGAACTTCAGCATGAGAAATGGTGGTGCGCATGGTCGCTATGGAATAGGGGATTGGCCGTTCTTTAAATGTCGAGAGCACATGGCAAATGTAAGCAAATAATAAGTATTTGTGTCAACATGATATCAAAAAATATCTCGCGTGTTTTATCTTAGTATATTGCTTGATTGGTAGTTTGTTTCAGTTTTTATCTAATAAGAATAGAGAAAAAGAAAACTAGACCTAGAAACTCAGCAATATTAATCTAAAAATGTCCAACATGTATGTTCATAGTTTGAATTATTTTTAGTTTTCCTCCCAATTAGATTGTCATTTTCAAAACAAAATCATTAGAGGTGGGGAGAAGACTTTCTCAAGCGAAAGCTAATATAGCAACATATGAAGAATTTGAATCTCCTAATCTATTATATTTATCAGAAAAACATTAGTAAACTCATGTTGAAATCTGTCATGATCCATGAGAAACCTAGTGGTTCTGGCTGCCTATAATTAGATTACTCTATATTTCCATTCTTACTGTTCTTAGTTCCTATAACAGAATCATTAATGTTGGGAGATAATTGCTTGGAAACCCTTATATAAAATTCACTATTAAGTACTGTATATTGTACAATTATTTTTCTTATTCAACTCTTACACTATGCCTTAGAAAGACAATACACAACAAATTGAAAAGGCAGGCCCATGTTATATATTATCATTCATTTTCTGATATACCAAATAGATTAGTAATACAGTGATGATTTTTTTATAGGAAAGGGACAAGCGCAAAGCATTTCAGGAAGTTTGCAGGAGTTTCAGGTTTATTTCCTGTGAAGAGTTATATTATAATTAGTCATTTGAATTTAGTATGGAGTATACGGGCTTGGCCAACATGTCTTACAATCTCCTAATGTCTCTCCCTCTCCCTTTGCTCTCTTTTAAAGGACTTCGAAGTCATAGTCAACTTAGTTTGATCATATTGTGTTCTGCAGGCCCGTCATGCATTTCTTTTTCTTGGAGAGGTTTTTACACCCAGCTGAGTGGTTTGAAAAGAGACTGGCATATACCCGAAGTGTTGCTACCAGTTCTATGGTAAGTGCCTTCTACTTTTGCATGCGGTCTTATTTTTTCAATAACTGGATCCACTCGGTATCAAAGTTAAGTGGGGTCTTTGTCAGTATAGATGGCACATTCAACAATACTAACAATTCAATTTAAGTCATTTTCCAGTGCACTTGTTTGAAGTTTTTATATTCTTTTTTATTTTCCAAATTTTGCAGCTACAGAAATCTAGCCTTCTGTGTAGCTACGTTGCAATGAATACAATTTTGATCATATTGCCCATTTTGTGATCCAAATCTTTCACATCCGTTATTAGTTCTATTTTATTTCAAAATAGTTTTGAATGATTTTCTATCTGAAATATGATTATTTTCAGAAACGTCAGAAATATATAATCTGTGTCAATATATCTCTCATTCACAACCTTGGTTTATTTAGTAGTTTATTGATATTCAGGTTGGTTATATTGTTGGCCTTGGAGATCGGCATTCAATGAACATTTTAATTGATCAGACTACTGCAGAGGTTGTTCACATTGATCTTGGTGTTGCATTCGAACAAGGCTTGATGCTTAAGACCCCAGAACGGGTATGTCGTTGATAAACCTCCATTAATGATCTTGAAAGCATGCAAGTGTGACGACATATATATGAGATTACAGAAAATTTTAAAAATTTGATAACACAACAGTTACAAGACAACTCATACAATTGTCATAAAATTAAGACAGGCTAGGATACGTTTCACCACAAACCTTCAATTGACAGCATCAGATATAGAATAATACACAATCTTGAGCTGGGACACTGATGAGGGAAATAGTTATAACTAGATATAAAAAACCCTAAGTTCCCTCGAATGTGTTCTGGGCTTGTGCCTCAGCTCTATTGCAGTAGACTACACTGTGACCATGGGGCATGGGGGACTTTGCAGCCTATATCACGACTAGAAAGTCAACCGTCCAATATCAACAAAATACTACTTGCCAACTCTCTTAGTACTTTTTAAGCTACCATTACAATCCTCCGAACCAAGTGAATTGTTTAAATTCATGCCTCTTAAAATCATTGAAGCATATGATTTTGTGCGTACATGTAACAAATTAAACTTACTTGGTTCGACTGAGCTCTTCATTGATGAAATTGATACCATAACCAATAGAGGTCAGGTTTGATTTGTTTGGTTTAAGACCCAAGCATGAAAAGGTACCTTTGTTTGGTATAGAAGTTCAAATTATAGAAAACAAATGGTAAAATTATCCAATGTGTAACATGAACACTCATCCAACATGGATGCGACAATTTGAAGTGTCCTTGCATCCTTGATCGAGATCTCATTTACATTCTTAATCTGGATTTTTGTTGTCTTCATTATCTTCTGGCAGGTTCCATATAGGCTCACAAGAGATGTAATTGATGGAATGGGTGTAACTGGTGTAGAGGGGGTTTTCAGAAGGTGTTGTGAGAAAACACTTTCTGTTATGCGGACAAACAAAGAGGCATTACTTACCATTGTGGAGGTAATCATATTTCACACAAATTTGTATTGAATGAATTGAGCTTATTTCTTTTTATTTTCATTACAAATGGGTGTCTTCTGTAGGTGTTTATCCATGATCCTCTTTATAAGTGGGCTTTATCTCCTCTGAAAGCTTTGCAGCGTCAAAAGGTATTCTAAATATCAAATATTATTTTCTTTATTTAACCCTAAGAAGAAAAAGAATCCTGTGTCCAGCATATCTTATGGAAATTGGTGGCAACCCCATCCGGCGAAGTTTATTCGTCATGCATTATTTCATTTATCTGCAGTGATCTTTTTCCTTTTTTCTCCACAGGAAATGGATGTTGATTTGGATACAAGTTTGGAGGAACCTCAAAACGAGTATGAAGGAAATAAAGATGCAGCACGTGCACTTTTGCGTGTAAAGCAAAAACTGGATGGGTATGAAGATGGTGAAATGCGAAGTATCCACGGGCAGGTATTTTTTCAATACATCTCTGCCACATTAGTGTACTGATTATGCATTTTTTCTTTTCCTTTTTCATCTATATCGTTGTTAAGCTGATAAATTTTAGGTAGTATGCATTAGCATTTCCCTATCATGTAACTGATAAATTAAAAATTGGAAACATAAGCTTGGATATATAGCCACCATATATGTTCAGTAGCATTTTCAAAAGAGAATTGCATATTAGTAAAGACGTCGTACTCCCATTGCACTGGTGAATAAAGTTTGATCAATTGCCACAAATTTATAATTACCATCTACCTTGGGTGTTAACTAAGCGATATTTTACATGTTCAAATATCTCGTGGAAAATCTAATTGTGGTATTCCATTTGCAGGTACAGCAACTCATCCAAGATGCAATAGATTCTGAGCGATTGTGCCAAATGTTTCCTGGTTGGGGAGCTTGGTTATGAAGAGCCCTTTTGTCCACCACACCTTGAGTGATCTTATATAGGCGGCTTGTATATACTCTGCATTGGTTTTTTTTCCCTTGAATTGTAAATTTTCTCTTTCAATTCATCAATTGTTTCTTATGTTTTTATTGTTAAACGATTATACAGCGATGTTAGAGGATGTGAAAGTAATAGTATGTCACATGTGTATGTATACGTAGATGTAATTACTAACTATACAGTTGGCTTTTCCAGCAAAGCCCTTGCATTTGTGAAATTATTACTAACTGTAATTACTATGTGTAATGTAGTCGCATTTACCTTAGACCAAGTGTAACACTGTTCACTTTTTAAATTTTATGTGTTTTTCATGGCTCGTTAAAGATGAAACAAATGATTACAAGTCATAATCATAATTACCAAACATCCTTCCGGTTTGAAAGTTGCAAGAAAAGAATTATTTGAAATAGTCTTAACTCGTGAAAACAACCTTGAAAGATAAAGGAAAAGCAGGACACCTAATAGCAGAACCTCAAAACAAGCCAGATCCCAAGTTTCTGAAGTGGGTTATAGAAGATTCCACCATTATTGCATGGTAATGGCGTTCAATGAATTTTGAAATTAGGGACACTTGCATGTTCTTAAATACGACAAAGAAGATTTGGAAAACTTTAGCAGGGACTTATTTTAGAGCGAAAGATGTTGTCCAACTATATGATGTGAAGGTGAAAACACTAGCGGCTAAACAAGGAAACCAAATAGTTACAAAATGTACTGATAATCTTAAAGCGTTATGAATAAAGTTAGACCACTAAATATTTATTAAAACCAAGCGTATAGAATATTCGACAAAACTTAAGGAGTACATTGAGCAAGATAGAGTTTGATTTTTTGGTGAGACTCAACTCTGAGTTTGATCAAGTTAGAATACACATTTTTGGCAAAGAAAAAGTACCAAACATTAACGAGGTAGTGGTTAGAGTGAGAAGTGAAGAAAATAGGAGTTAATGCTGATAATGTAACATCTTGATTTAATTAGAATTATTTTATTTAAAATAATTAGATAATGTGGTGTATTTTATGCGTTGGTGAATTTTATGATGTGTTGTGATGTAAATTGCGAGAAGTAGAAGCTTTAGAAACTATAGAAGTTAAGATGATAGGGATGTATGGCTAATAGCATAGGAACATAAGGGTGAGAGAGATGATTGACCTATTAGTATTATTTGGATTAAATAATAGAGTTATTATTATTTTATAATAATTAAATAGAATTGTTAGTAGAATAATATAATTCATATTATTTTATTAAATAATTATCTAATTGAGTAAGGGCATAGTTGAGATTAAGTATTACATGACTAGAGATTATTATTAGAAAAATAAGGAAGTGAACAGAAGGAGAAAAACATAACGATCGTAGAACGAGAGAAGGGAAGAGCTAAGGCAAGAAGGATTCCACGAATTTTGAAGGATCAAAGCTTCAAATTAAGGTAAGGGGGGTGAATTAGTTCTTTAAATGATGGTTATAACATGAGAGGGTAGTGAGGGTTCCTTTCTCTCTTTAGGTTTTTTTTGGCATAATTGATGCATGATTCTTTTTTTTGTTGATTGATGTTGTTGTATATGATTCTATATAAAATTGTGAATCTTGTGATGTTGATGTTGTAATTGTTGTTGATAATTATTGTTGTTGTGATGTTGTTTCCATAAAACCCCATTCTAGAAATTATATGTTAGGAATATGACAAACAATGAAGATTTAGATGTGAAAAATTGTTACAGGATAATAAATGAATGAGATATATGAAGTACATAGGTTGTTTTGTGTAAAAATAATGCTTTAGATCAAAATTTGGAGGTTAGAAGTTTCCAAATCGGGTGAAAATCGGATTGGTTTATGCAGGAAATCACAACAGGAAAACCCTGTTCGCGCAGGATCGTCAGACGATGAAGGATGTGTCGCCGGGCAATGGAGTTTCGCCAGGCGAATGAGAAAGCGACGAAGAGGTGAAAAGATGAATGTTTTTGTAATGGGTCGCTGGCGATGGATAGCAGATTCAGATAACCGTACAAATTTTCTCAAAAATGTCATAACTTGAGTCTTAGAACCCCGATTGTTGTGTCGTTCGAAGCGTTGCACAGATAAAGAAACGAGCTACATTTAGGTGGAATAAAATGAATAAAAGAATGGTTGTTTCCAGTACTTAGGATAAGGTAGAGTTAGATTATCATAAGACAGGTTAAGATGATATGTGCGCTATGATGAATTGTGGATTACTATGACGTATGTGGCATGATGATGATGATCTTGGTGGCCTGAATTGACATACTGTTGAAGGCTTATGTCTTGTGGTTGCATAATCTATATTGTTGTATGTTGATGTTGCATGCATTTCATTGGTGAAAGTTTATGCTTTGTTGTTGGCATATAATGACGTTATGTTGAGGGCTTATGCCCCGTTGTTGCCCAATTGGCACTATGTTAGGGACTTATGCCCTGATGGTACCACACGCATTGAGTTGATGTCGATCTCATTGTATTGCATTATTAATGAATTGATGTTGTATGATGTGAATGATGTGTTGCATTGTGAAGTGTTGTGTGATGTGTGAGTTGTGTGAATTACTACTCCTTAGCATGTGATATTTACCGTGTATTTATTGAATGTAATTCTCACCCCTTTTGTATTGTTGTGTCTGTAGTCTTAGGGAGTACAAATAATCAGGTACCCGAGTAGTGCTTGAAGAGAATGTTATCTGATCGAATCTTAAGATTCGCTCTGATACGTAACACGGGATTTGAGAATTTATTATATTTTCGTATTGTTTTATTTGTTACGTATCACACTTTTATGCTTATGATGGACCACATGTTTGTGGAATTTCATTATTGTTAAGGCTTGATGTCATGGAAGAGAATTAAACTGAATTATTTCGCTGCTAGTTGATTGTCATAAATAAATAAAGTAATAAATTGATTTGAGACTTTATTAAAATTTGAATTATGTGGCATCCTATTGTGTAGACTCTGGTATATTTCATGTATGTTGATGTAATTATTCTTATGGGAAAATGGGGTGTTACAGACAATGTCACATGTGAAAAGCTCACTAATGCTATCTGAGAAGAATTTGATTGTGATGGTTGATCAGAAGAAATAGGGAGGAACATATGTCGAGAAGAGGAGCGAAGCGATGTGGCGTACTCATTGCAACAAGCCTCGTCATACTAGAGAAAAATGTTGGAAATTGAATGAAAAACCTTCTAATAGAGAATGGGGACAAAAATGAGACTTATCATAAAAGGGAGAACATGCACAAATGATAGAGAATACTAGTGGAGACAGTCTAGAAAAAGGGGTGCCACATCCAACAACAATTGTCTCATTTTTTTCGATATGCAACACATACGGTAATTAAAGAACATATCATGTGCCTGGGAGTCTACCTTTTATTAGCAGGGGAAAACACCAATAATTAAATATTTCAATTCGTCCAAACATAACTATCATAAATATAGTTATAACAACAATAATCATAAAGATTAACAAATATAACAAATTATCCAACAACGAAGATATACACTTAGTTTCCTTCAGACATAAACAAAACAAGCGTTGATCCCCAAAGTTACAATCAGAGTAGACACCGACTCAACAACACATAAAGAAGAGCAACCTCTTTCACTAACTTCCACACCTTCACGGCGGATCACCTGTATGTTATCCATGTGGAGGCAACATTCAAACATAAGGAGCGAGATATCATAATTATATAAATGAAAGCATGATAATAAGCAAGCATCAGATCATTACATGCACATCACTCATTCCATAATGCAATCCATACAATCAACACAACAACTAACACACACAATAACAACACAACCAATATGCAATGCAATGAGACTCACAACTTGACTCAATGCACTTGGTACCAAAATATGAACTCTCAGTTTCACCGCTCTGATCTCCACCTACGATCGAAGCTCACCAAATAGACCCCCGTCCAAAACCGTTACTAAGTAGCGCTTCACTAATCCACCACCATAGGAATTAGCTACGTGCATCCACTCCTCACAATGGGATTGAGGCTCACCAAATACGGACCTTCGTCCAACACCATGAGTGCATGCAACATATCATGCATACAACACAACAACACACACAAAGAACTTTACCATAGTCAATGTATCTCGTCACTACTGCCCACCATAAACCAAACACATACCAAAACATGCAGCAATAATAACACGATGATATAGCAAACAATAACAATGCATTTGCACACGTTCCATAAAACAACATAAACTCATTGTGCATTAAATACATTTGTAATGGGTTACTTGAATCCAAGTAACATGTTACTTCAAACTCAGAACAAAAATATACAGTTTTTCCCTGAGGTAACTGGTTACTTCATTTCATGTAACCAATTACTTTATCAAAAATGCCCAGAACACGTTTTTAATAGCAGAGTAACCGATTATTTCATTTTAAGTAACCAGTAACTTTTCTGACAAAACCACTTTTTTGCAACTTTTTAAAAATGAAAATCACTTTAAGCCATCCCAAAACCTCATTTTTCTTACAAATCATTTAGCTTATGTTTTAACACGAAATAATCACTTTTAAAAGGTTTCAAACCTCAAATATTTTCAGCAAAAACACCCATAACTTAGTTACGACGCTGACTCACAACCACACATAATAACACAATATCCACTATCAACCATTCATTCAAATGCATAATTTTAACAACAACATTACACAATTCACCATTCAATCACCAACCATAACATCATTATACAACATTCTAACACATCTAATTCATCAACAACATACAATTGCATTATCCACACAATTTATCCAACAAATTACAAAATTGCAACCATGATTATATCATTGAGAGAAGAATAAAAACACAAAACAAAGCATAGACATAATCTATCCACAATCATCATACAAACCCTTAGATAATTAAAACCTCGTCCTTACCTTAGAGTTCTTGCAAAAGCTT